ATCACTGTGGCACCAGCATCCCTGGTTCGAGTCCCAATTGCTCCATTTCCAATCCATTCCCCTGCTAAAATGCTTGAGAAAGCAGCAGTAGATAACCAGGTGGCTTGGACCCCCACAGTCCTGTTGAAGACCCAGAAGAAACTCTGGACTTCTAACTTTGTATAGGCCCAGCTCAGGCCATTGCAGCCACTTGAATGAACTCTGCCTTTCAAATAAATAAATAAATCATTTGTAAAAGAAAACAGTATAACATTTTTCACTTACTAAAACACTGAGAGCATGTTTTGATGAACTAATCAGATTCCTATGTTTCTTCAAGAAAATCCAAAAAAGTATTTAGAAAAGCTTTCCTTCTATATATACCAATAAAAGGAAAAAAACTCAATACTTTTGACACCAGATCTGTGGAATTTTTTTTTCCATACCAGCAGTTCAATTCAATTCTGACGCTGTCTACAAGGAGTTATACAGAGCCCACAGGTTAAGGGTGGAGTCCCGTAAGACTGACCCCACTTTAGCCACTGATCCAAAGTGCAGTCGCCTGTCTTCCTGAAGAGTCTTTGACCTATTTCTTCGTATTCATTCATTTGTTACAACAACTCACAGAGAAAAAGAGTTCATTAACTAGATTACTAGTTACTCAGGAATACCCAGCCGAGAGATGCACAGAACAAGTGCATGGAGGGATCGTGGATCACCCCTGCCCTCTCTGGATGCCCTCTGCGCAGTGCCTGCTTGTGTTCACAATCTGGACGTTCTCTGAATCACGTCCTTTTTTGGATTTTGTGGCAGTTCCATTATGTAGGCATGATGTGCGTGATTGGTGACTAAGTTATCTCCTTCTGCTTCTTCCTCTCCCTGCCCAGGGGTAGGGGTCCATGGGACAGAAAGTTGCAACCCTTTAACCACATGGTTGATTTCCTACAACCAGCATCCTCTAAATAACTTCAGGATTTGCTTGAACCTCACAAGGCATTTATCATTTAAATCCTGATTTTTCTGCTTACTGCGTGTGGAGCTGTGACCAAATTATGTGAGTTCTCTAAACCTTAGTTTTCTCATCTTCAGCATGCAGTGTGAGGCAGGCATTTGGCCTGGTATTAAGGTGGGCTCTGCTCTTGCTAAAGCAGATCGTGGGAGGCAGCAATGGTTCGAGTGTCTGGGTTCCTACTTCTTGTGTGGTAAACATGTATTAAGTTTCCAGCTCTGGTTTCAATCCTGCTATCATTGTGGGTGTCTGGTGATTGAGCCAATGGATAGAACTACTTTTTTCTGTGCTAAATAAAATATTTTAAAATCGAAAAAAATACATAGATATCCTTAAAGGCAAACATATTAACATGAAATTTAAAAACCTGCATCTAAAATGAAGCAAATTAGCAAAAGTACAAAACAATGGGTGAAGGCCATTCCTTGAATGATTTGCACAAGCAAACAGTAAATATTTTGTTCCCGCTTGAGGAAATTAAAGCAAACATGAAGTCTAAAGCAATAACAAAACAGAACAAGATAAAAAGACCACAGTAATAAGGTGAAACAACAGCTGCGGTAACTAGAGGAAATAAATTAAGGAGAAAGATAATTACAGAAATTAAAAGCACCTGAGAAACTCGAAGTGCAGCAGTGACATTACTGAAAATGAAATAGCTATGCTGTTGGCAGTCTTGAGAAAAGGTATCTAGAATGAAAGCTGAATGACAAGAAAGTGCGGGAGAGAGGTCTGCAACGATGTTTGAGCATGTGCTGGAAAGCATTGCTGAACTCAAGACCCAAACCTGAGCAGCAAAGACCTTGTTACACATCCGGCGAAGTTAATTAAAAACAGTAAATACTAGCATACCCCCCAGAAGTGATCACTTTACAAGATCCAACACAAATGTGTACAGCTTCCAGATATTAAAATGAACTGATTAAGATTTATTATTATTGAATAGGCAGATCAGATTTTCGGAGATAAGGAGTGGCAAAAAGATCTATCTGTTCGTTAATTCCCCAAGCAGCCACAATAGCTGAAGCCAAGCTGATCCAAAGCCAGGAGACAGGAGCTTCTTCCAGGTCTCCCACACAAGTCCAAGGTCCCCAGACCTTGGGCCATCCTCTACTGCTTTGCCAGGCCACCAGCAGAGAGCTGGATGGGAAGTGGAGCAGCTGGGAAACAAACCGGAGCCCATATGGGATTCCACTGCTTGCAAGGAGGATTGTCATTGAACCATCATACTAAACCCTATAATAATTGGATTTTAAACAGTGGGGCCAACAGGATTCAGAATAGAACTAGGTGTGTGTGTGTGAGGGAGAGAGAGAGAGAGAGAGAGAGAAAGGACTAACATGGTGGTATGGAAGCTTCTTAGGCATTCCTATATAACTGTTGCCTCCGAACCTGATCAGGAGCTTGTAGTACACAGAGCCAGCCATCAGGGAGGGGCCGTGGATGTCTAGTGGAGAGAAGCAAATGCAGAGGGGAGTCCCTGAGGACCTCCACAGGGCAGAAGCATAGGCAGCTCTTAGAGGTTGCTTCCCAGGCCTGAGCACGCTCACCTTCCCAGAGCATCCACGGGAGCCCGGTACAGGTGTTGGCCTGAGAGCTGACAAGCTGAGCCGGCAGAAAAACAACTACTCATCTAACCTGAAAATGCTCCGGCTTCCCTTCTGTCTTCCAATCCCTACAGGAATCCCTCCTGTGGGCCACCTGGGTCAGAAACATACAGGGAAGGAGATTCTGGACTCTGTATTTCAGCTGGGGCAAGTCAACACATGACAACGACACTGCTGTTTACCCCTTATCAACCCAGTACCCAGGCCTGTTCCCTTAAATCATACTTAATTTCTGTATAAACACAACAACCAAGTCATGCTCCTGCTTGACATGACACTACTGTCCTTTAAAAAAACAAGACAAAAGACTGGCTAATTTGAAAGGCAGTGATAGAGAAAGCAAGATACATAGAGGGCTTTTCATCTGCTAGTTCACTTTCTAAATATCCATAATCTCACAGCTTCCAGTGAGGGCCTTGTGGCTGGCATCGCATGGTGAGAGAAGATGCTGGACAAAGCTTTGGAGCCACACTTCCTTTATTGCAGCGCCCTCTGGTGGATATAATCTGGTCCCAGGACAGTGATCCTAGCTTGAGTCCTGCAGCTAGCAACGCCCCCTCCCCTCATCATGAGGGCTCCTCCCACTAGGCCCTTCTCCCAACACTGCCACACTGAGTCCAGTCTTGGTGAGTGGACAGCCCTGTTGCTGAACATCAATCCCTGCTTTCAAGGTTACTGTGTTCAGCAGTCCACACAAGTTGCTAGAAGGTGCTGATGTCCACAGATGGATCTTTTGGTCCACTGATCATCATTAGGCCTCTGCATGCATCACCCTCATTCCATTTCAGAATGCTGGCTCAAGTCCCAGCTACTCTGCTTCCATCCAGTTTCCTGTCAATATACCTCAGGAGGCAGCCAGTGGTGGCCCATCCATGTGGTAAACTCAAATGGAGTTCCTGGCTCCTGGCTTCTGCCTGACCTCACCAGGGCATTTGGGGAGTGAACCAGCATTTGGAAACTTTCTGTCACTCTGCCTTTCAAATAAACTTTTTTTTTTATCTCCCTTTAGACTTTGGTGAGCATTCATGTGGAGCACAAATATTTTCATATTTTGCCTTTTAGAGTGATCTATCCTTAGAACTTTGTCCCTAGCCCTGCTTGTCCCACTCATGTTCCTCCCAAGTCTGACTATCCAACCAAACCATGATTTGATGCAAACCAATTCTTCTGTCCATCTTCCCTTCCAGGCAAAGTTAACACCCAACACATTGCTGTAAGTTCTGTCTGCTAATAGGATTTCCACTCTTTCAGGGCTGTCCCAGAGGGGTGCCGTTTCAATTGACGCATGCACAGTGTGTAAAACTACCTGTAAGCCACGTCTGAGTGGCCTTCCCCGTGAAGTGTGGCCTGACAGGGTCATAGAGCAGAGACAGGGTCCATGTGCAAGTCTCAGAATTCATGATGCAATCTTGGGACAAGATTAGCCTCAGACAGGATGAAAAGGCTGCTTCTCGTGGCCAAAAGGGTTGGAGGTCCCCAGCTTCACTGGAATCTGCCCCTATGATCCATCCCAACACTCAGAATCACATTCCCTCCCAACAGAAGAGTTCCCTGTGCAGCTGGGAATTCAGTTTGTGCTGTGATTCAGAATTTGACCTGTTGATTCACCAGGACTGACGAACTGCAGGGGCATAGCTCAGTGGTTAAGATGCTGCCTAGAAGGTCTGTTTTCCCTATTGGAGCGTCTGGGTTCTAGGTGTGGCTTTGATCCCAATCCCATAGTCTTACTAATGTGCAGCCCAGGAGATGGCAGGTGAAAGTCCAAGTACCTGAGTCCCTGTCACCCACATGGGAGGTCTGGACTGAGGTCCTTGCTTCCAGCTACAGCCCAAGGCAGTGTTCACTGTGACCATTTGGGGGGTGAACCAGTGAATAGGGGAGCTCTGCCCCTCATTTAAAATACATACATAAAGTCTTTCTTAATAAAAATTTCAAAGAAATATGGCATTGCTCTAGGTAAGGGTGGGTGTCTTGCAGAGTCATTAAGACACTGCTTGGAGTGCTAGCTTCCCATATCAGATTTGCTGGATTTAAATTCTACCTCTGCTTCCAATGCCAGCTTCCCGATGGTGCACACCCTGCGAGGCAGAAGGTGACTGGGTCTCTGCCACCTATGCGGGAAACCAGAGAGAGTTCTGGACTCCTGACATTGACCCAGTCCTCACTATTGTTGGATTTGGTGGGGAGGGAAGTGGTAGAATAAGTCCTTGGTCCAAACAACTATACTTCTGTGAGTTTATCATTAGGGAATAACAAAGGATATGCACACACATAATTATCAGGGCGAATCACAGAGCACTGTTTACAACTAGGATGAAGCAGAAATTACTTGTGGGAAACAACTGGGGCTACAGTAAATAAATAGTGTCACAACCATAACACAGAACGCTCAGCAATCACTCAACTGTCACAGAATGTTTATTGACATGAAAGGCGCTTGGGCATAGTGATGTGTGGACAAAGCAGATGGTACAATAACATGCAGGGTGTGACAGTTCGATTTTTGTAAAAAAAAAATGTATATATATATATATATATATATAGCAAAAAAAAAAAAAAATCTGCTATGGTTCCTGCAACATTGGTAATGGTGCCTGTCCCTGACAGGAGAACATGAGTGTTTATTTTGTTTACCTCAATTTCCCACTCTGTACAAATCATTCGTCATATGGAAAAGTTAATCTATTATAATACTTCATTCCGATGAAAACAAATCCATTTTGTAAGAACCCAGGTTTTCTTCAGAAGCAGGAATGATTTCCAAGTTGCCCTGGGGCAGCACTTTATCCTCTGCTGAGGCTGAGGCAGGGATGTCCCAAGCACAGCCTAACGTCAGACTCCAGGACCAAGGCTGCCTCCCACAGCTCCAGGGGCGTGAATTCAGCTCCTGCATTGAGGCCAAGCCAGCTCATCTCCCACTTTCAATCCTACTCCTGCTGAGTGACCAGCTTCATCATCTTCAGAGCCATGTCCCCTTGGTCAGAAGGGACCTAGAAATAAGCATATCTGTGTTAGTGCTCCTGTGCAGCCCTGGGACTGGAGTCAGGAGCAACATCCTGAAACCTTGTCCCCAGGGGGCTGGCACTGCGGTGTAGTGAGTTAAGGCAGCACTTGTGGTACTGCAACATCCCACTTCAGAGCAATGGTTCAGAGTCACAGCTAGTCTGCTTCCAGTCCAGCTTCCTGCTAGTGTACTTGGGAAAGCAGCAGATGATGGCCCCAGGGACATGGGCAGGAGCTCTCCCACACGAGTAGCAGGGACCCATGTCTTTGGGCCATGAGCTCCCAGGATGTGCCTTAGGCAGGAAGCTGGATTGGAAGCCTTGACTCAAACAGGCACTTCCATATAAGCTGTGGGTCTTAATCACTGCACCACATGCCTACCCCTAGGATAAATTCTTTGAAATCTCTATTCCCAACTATCATCAAAAGTGGTCTCAAATTCTTCGTGACAAAGAGGGAGGAGGGTAGATGGTGTCCCAGGTATGAATTCTCCCAGCTCCATGTTCTCCAAGACAGAGAACTCAGAGTTCCCAGAAGGCACAGGTGCAGCAGCAGGCCTCTCTAAAATGATTCAATTAGAGAGGAAGTGGTTAGAGGATGACTTCAGAACAAGGGCTATTTTAAGGTTGTCCCCAACTGATCTGTTCTGTAGATACCAAAACAAGAGGAAATAGACCTGAACTGCGGCACCGAAGTGAGCAAAGGAGTGTCAGGTTAGCTTGGTCTGTGCACTCCCCCACCTGCCCGCTGCTTGCCTCTTGGGATTTGTTTTATCCTGGAACAAAAGCTGACACTCTTTCTCACCATGTGGCCAGCTCGTAGAATCCAGTAGAAAGCCAGGTTCTTGTAGGACTTGACAAAAGCTGACGTCTCAGAGGACTTAGGGTCACTGTAGAGGGCCTTCCACCTCAGCTGGTTGAATTTAGGCAGTTCTGGCCACTTCAGCTTCCGCAGCCATGCCTCCTGACCTGATTGTTGGGAGACAAAGAGAAGGACCTGACATTAACGGCTAGTGGGTTTGTGGAGGAATGAAGGGAGCTAAAAATCTAGGCCCTGTAACTTGGTGTTGCCCAAATGATTATATGCAAAAATTTCACAGAAATCTTGTTAAAATGCAAATTCTGACTCAGTGGTTCGGGGGCGTAGACATGAGCGTCTGCATTTTTCACCAGGTACCCTTTGAGACTAAAGCTGGCATTTAGAAACCTAACAGCTGTGAAGCTATTTTTACCTGACCCTCCCACCACCATCTGCTCACGAGAAGGGGACCCAGGGACCTCTGGAGACAGGAGTGGCAGGAAGAACAAGAAATCTCAGGACTGAGTCAGGACATGAATGCCACTTGAGCAGGTGTGGGAGCCCTGCAGAAGCTTTCAGCCATCCTTAGCACCTTGGTGTACAGGTACAAGTCACAGCCTCAAGACCAACACGTTGGAGGCCTTGCAGCTCGTCCCACGGAATCGCCTGCACATGTGCCACCGAGTCAACTCCTACCCATGGTGTCCACGATGAGGTCGAGCTGGCCGTTATACACAGTCACATTGACCCCGGCTTCCAGCAACTCATCCACAATGCTAATGACCGGCTTCATGAAGTCCCCCTCCATGTTCAGGAAGACATCAGAGGCTTGGGCTGCACAAGGGAAAGAAGGCTGAGGCCATTACTTAAAATATGTCAGAACATGAAGTTTCCCAGGCTCCATTACCCAACAGTAACCATGATGCAGTACCTAAGAAAGCCTCAATGTATGACAGCTCCCAAGTGTATCCATCCCTCGAAGCTCCTGATATCATATTACTTTTTATGCAATCTAATTAACTTTTCTTCATTTCTTAAAAAAAAAAAAATCAAGAGGTGAGGGGGGCCCGGCGGCATGGCCTAGCAGCTAAAGTCCTCGCCTTGAATGTACCGGGATCCCATATGGGCACTGGTTCTAATCCTGGCTGCTCCACTTCCCATCCAGCTCCCTGCTTGTGGCCTGGGAAAGCAGCTAAGGACAGCCCAAAGCTTTGGGACCCTGCACCCACGTGGGAGAGCTGGAAAAGGTTCCTGGTCCCTGGCTTCGGATCGGCACAGTACAGGCCATTGCGGTCACTTAGGGAATTAATCATCGGACGAAAGATCTTCCTCTCTGTCTCTCCTCTCTGTATATCTGACTTTGTAATAAAAATTAAAAAAAAAAAAGCGGTGAGGGGAAATGAGGAGACCAGATTAGCCCTCTGGTCCTAATAAGGCAGGACCAGAGTCAAGTCTTGCTGTGGGACCATCCAACGCCACAGCTTTGGGTTATCTTGGGCACAAATGAAGCAAAACCCTCCTCCTGGAATGTTTTCCCTCCAAAAGTCTATAATTTCTGCTTGCACGAGGTCTCTCTGTAGGACTAGGTAGGAACTTATCCAGCATTTCCACCTAGACTTGGCCTCGATTGACTCCGGCGGGTTCGATTGACTCCGGCGTTTCTCAGCACGGTCCTGAGAGAACAATGTGACAGATGCCCCACCACACCCAGCCTCGGGATGTCTGGGAGGCCAGCCAGAGAGAGTTACTAGAAACCTGTCCAAACACATAGGCGAGTCTGGTTCCTGCAAAGGAGCTTGGCTAGAAATCACACCTGCAGCCAGCCGTGGCCTTGGGCATAGTTTTCAGAACTTAACTTTCATCATGAAAAATGCCAAACTGATACAAAAGTAATGAGAAGAGTATTGGAAACCCCATGCACCAAAGCAGACTCCAACAATTATGGACTTGAAAGCAGTCACATGTCATTTCTTTCCCCATTCAGTGCCTCAGCAACTCGGTATTCTGACCCTGTTTGGGCCCGCTGTTATCTCAGTATCTGCTTTCTCATCCTTGCAGTGTGAATAAGGACACTGTTTTATCCGTAACAGTCTATCCCCACCAGGAAAACCCATCCTACACATTCAGACCTCTGTATCTGCACCTACCTCCCCAGGAGAACTCCTCGGGAATAATTTTGAGTTTCTTTTTGATAGGACCATTCATGAGGCGACTTAAGGCATCTCCATGCAGGTGTCTTACATGACGCTGACACAGACGATCTGAAAACAAAATAAACTGGATGTAGTGATTTACAGGACAACTTTTAAAAAAAACACATATTTACTCATTTATTTCAAAGGCAGATTAACAGAGGGAAAGGATGAAAATTTTTTCATTTGCTGGTTCAGTCCTCAAATGGCTACAATGACCAGGGCTAGGTCAGGCCAAAGCCAGGAGCCCAGAACGCCATCCTGCTCTCCCATGTGGGTGGCCTGGGCCCCAACTACTTGGGCCATCCTCTACTGCTTTTCCTGGAGCATCAGCAGGGACCAGCATCAGAAGCAGAACAGAGAGGACTCCGACCGGTGCTCAGATATGGGATGCTCGTGTCATAAGAAGTGGCTTAATTTGGGCCCAGCACTGTACCTTAGTGGCTAAAGTCCTCAACTTACATGCTCCAGGATCCCATATATGCACCAGTTCATATCCCAGCTGTTCCACTTCCCTTCCAGCTCCCTGCTTGTAGCCTGGGAAAAACAGCTGAGGATAGCCAAGGCCTTGGGACCTTGTACCCACGTGGAAGACCTAGAGGAAGTTCCTGGCTCCTGGCTTCAGATCGGATCGGTTCTAGCCCTGTGGCCACTTGGGGAGTGAACTAGCAGATGGAAGATCTTTCTATCCTTCTCTCTGCAAATCTGATTTTCCAATAAAATAAAATGAATCTTGAAAAAAAAAACCAGAAGTGACTTAATTTGCTGTGTTACAATACCAGCCTCAATGGGGCATCCCTTTCATGCAGCCAGGGACATGAGGCAGTCAGAAGGAGGGTTATAGTTGAAAGAATGGGGAGTGTCATTGTGACGCACCCAGATGGAAGAAGAAAAGACTGTTTTCAAAGTGGAAGGCTTGTTAGTGTAGACTGCTGCACTCTATGCTCCTGGGGACTGCTGAGGCAATCCAGAAGGTCCAAAGAAAATCAGCTACAGGATGGTCTTGGGGCACACTCCACACTGGAGTGCCTGGGTTTGAGTCCTGGCTCCACCCCAATCTAGGAAGCAGCTGATGATGTCATAAGTACACAGGTTCTTGCTACCCATGAGGGAGACCTGGATAGAGTTCCTCTAGGTTCTTGGCTCAGACCCAGCAAATATGGGCATTTGGGAAGTGAGCTAGTGGATGGAAGATCTCTTTCTGTCCTTCCTTTTTGATTAAATAAATAAACTTTAAAAAAAAACAATTAAGAAGCAGAAGGTAGGGCACCCTTAATATGCCTCTTATGGAAGAATGCCAGGCACTGCATCCCAAGTGAAGCTAGGTCAGCTACAATACAACTAAATGCAGCCTTGACAATGGACTTGGCTTCTAAATTTCAGAATCACCATACTGAAAGAAGCCAAGTACAGAAGACTACTGTTTAGTTTCATTTACAAAAAAAAAAAAAAAAAAAAAAAAAAAAAAAAAAAGTGCAGAAATGGCAAATCTAGGCAGAGAAAGCAATTCAGGACTGCCTTGGACTGGCTTGAGAGCTGACTGCAAACACCTGGGGCCTTTTGGGGGTAATGGAAATGTCGTAAAAGTGGATTGTGCCTACAATCACACAGCTCCATGAATACACACACACACACACAAAAAAACACTGAATCAATGCACTGAATATGGGTGAATTTTATAACATATTAGAGTCTAATGAAGCTTTAAACCACAGGTTACTTCTCACAGAGGCAAGAGTAGCATTTAAAGACATAAACATCCACTCACCCAAGTGGCTCTGGATAAAATCCAGACTGGATTCCATGGAAGACATGGGAGAATCTTTAGTTAAGATGTTGTAGAAGTTCACCCCATCCGTGTTCTGCAATGCAAGAGCGTAAATTTCTGTTGCTTTCTTTCTCTATTGCTCCATCATCAGCACTACAATACCCATGAGCACCTGGTTCTCTGTCTTATCCAAGGACAGCTTCCATTCTATAAATGTGCTTGGACCAGAAAAGATGCAGCTCTGAAGGCCTAGGAACCAGCTGCATCAGTCTGCTCTACTCCAAGTGTTGCATGCCCATTGGAGCAGAGCTCAGGAGCTGCAGGAGAGACCCACGTATCCAAGTTCATGGCCAGTATATCCCTCTCATCTGGATCACTGGAATCAGAAAGTTACTTGGAAAGGATCCAAAAAAGACATCTTGTCTCTAAACCACACACTCAGCTCTGCCAGATACAGCCTTTCTTATGGAATCCATTCACTGAGTCAAGGACAAGCTGGTCTTGAAGGCCTGGGCACCATTCTGACCTCGTCAGGGCCAATGCATCAATACTCAGACCCAGTAAAAGTATCTTGCAGGATGCAGTCATTAGTCCTTTCCATGAGAAGACTGAGGCTAGACCCCAATTCTGACAACAACAACCAAGGGTTCTGTACCCACAGAAAAGAGCGAAGCAGGGTGTGTCCCCTTTTACCTTCTCAATGACCATTTCTGCTTTCTGCCACAGCTGTGTGGCTTCCTTGTAATACCCCTTATTTATGGCATCCAGGACTTCCTCGGCAACACTAGACACCTCTGCCAGACCTTTGTCATCCAGAAGAGACTGGAACACAAAGCAAGAACAGAAGGGCCCACTTGACTTGGGAACATAAGGCCAGTAGAAGAGCAAGTAGATGGAGAAAGGGGAGCTCACCCAGGAAAGTGTACTGTTGGCGGCAGGGATTAGGCCTTGTGGTTAAGCCTGCCGTGTCTCATGTCCCACCTGGGTTCAGTATGTGGCTGGCTCCTGAACCCAGCTTTCTGCATGTAATACAGCCTTGGTAGGCAGCAAGGAAGGCTCAGGTGGCTGAGTCCCTACCACCCTTTTGGGAAACTGGAACTGCCTTCCTGGCTTTTATCCTGGCCCAGCCCCAGCTGTTACGGGTTTTGGGGGAGTAAACTCGTAAGTGAGAGTTTTCTGAGAATCCCTGTGCTTCTGACACCAAAAATGTATCATTACACGGCACATATGAGGGCACTCTGTAAAGTCTGTGGGGAGAAAAGGAGATGAAAAGATATTGCCTTTGCTGCAAAACTTTTTTGAAATCTATTCATGTTTGTTCCATGATGCACTTTAATGACCTTTTTGAAGTAATATCTTTATATTTACTGATGATAAAAATATACCAAAATGCTAAGTAGATCAAGATGGTGGGTGTGTGGGTGCTCATAGCAACCTTTTGTGCATATTTGAAAGTTTCATGAAAATGGGAAAATGTAAAATAGAGTATATGTATTGATTTGCTTAAAAATTTTTTCCCCAAAATCAGCTTTCTCAGGGACTCTGATGTGAAGTGGACTGAGTCTGAAGAGCAGAAACACCACATGTGCAAACTCACTAAACTTGTTCACTGCTGGGGACATAGCCAAAGGAGATTGGTTGGATCACTTACAATGGAGGGTACAGAGATGAGGACCCATCTACTTACCATGCTGTACAGGTAAGGTCCCCAGGACAGCACTGAATCTAAGAAAAACCACAGCAATACAGATTAGGTGTCATGGTTTTACTTTCCAAAGAAAAACCTAACTGGCTTCCCTCCAAAACAAAGGCACACAAAACTCCATGGCCTTGGGCATGAAGGTCATAACTCATTAAAGCCCAAGCATGAGACAGACTGGTGTCCTGGTGGCTTGAAGGTGAGATGAGGATGTAAAGCCACCAGCTTTGAGGGCTGATCAATCTGGCCTGATTCAGACCCAGCAAATGAGGCAATGACATCCCCTGGGCAGGGAGTCGGGTGTAGGAGGAGGTACTAAACCACAGACTTCTAGGCTTTCTGATAGCTTCAGATCTGTCTCCAGCCTTATGTTTCTGCTCTGCATCCTGTTTGTGTCTCCAACTTGAAGACTTAGCTTCTGCCAGAAGACTAATGAGTTTGTAAGTCAAGTGTCTGTGGTGATACAGCCAATTGATTCATTTTTATTCCACAAGCATTGAGAATTTACTAAGGGTTTAAAAAGGGGTAGGTGTTTGGCACAGCCAGTTAAGATGCCATTGGCATGCCTACATGCCATATGAGAGCGCCAAATTTAGGTGCTAATTCTGCTTCCAACTTCCTGCTAATACACACCTCAAGAGGCAGCAGATGGGGGCCAGTGCGTTGGCTTAACTGGCTAACCTTCCACCTCCAAGCGCTGGCATCCCACATGGGTGCCAGGTTTGTGCCCTAACTGCCCTGCTTCCCATCCAGGCAGCAGAGGATGGCCCAAAGCCTTGGGACCCTGTACCCACATGGGAGACCCAGAAGAAGCTCTGGGCTGCTGGTTTTGGATGGACTCAGCTCCAAAAAAAGAGGCAATAGATGATGGCTGGAATACTTAGATCTCTTCCACCCAATGGAAGACCAGGATAGTTCCAACTCCTGGTTTTGGTCTGTCCTGGATATTACAGATGTTTGGGAAGTGAATTAATGAAGACAAGATCTCTCTCTCTCTTTTTAAAACAAAATAATGCATGAAACATAAGCTTGAGAAGATACAAATCTGAGTAATATAATGCCTGCTGTCAATGAGTACAGTTGAGCTGGTTTGGCAAGTTCACAACTACTACATTACTAGGTAAGACAGGAACCAGAGACGTGCCAGCAAAAAGTCTCCAGGGCCTCATATCTTAGAGTACACAGGAGTATGGCATTCCTTTGCGCGTGTGTGTGTGTGTATTATGTCACTTATTTGGAAGGTTTCAGTTACTTTCCAAGTCCAAGTAGCTCAAAATAAGCTCCCAATAACCACAGTTCGGCAGCATTTTTATCTAGATTATCACACAAAAGAAATGTTTTCCTGAGAAAATACTTGTGGAGTTAATGCCAAATGTAACACATTTTTGATAATGATAGGACTTCTCAGAACCTTTATTGTGCCTTTCCAATTTAAGAACAAAAAAAGAGGCAGTAGACGATGACTTAAATACTTGGATCTCTTCCACCCATTGGAAGACCAGGATAGTTCCCAACTTCTGGCTTTGGCCTGTCCCAGCTCTGGATATTACATGGCAGAGGTGGGCCAGTGTTGAGCACTTCCAGAGCCTAGGAGGGCACAGAGCCTCTGCCCAGCACCTCACTGCAGTGGTATTCCTTAGGCACTGAGACAGGCAGTCACACTGGCCCCTAGGACCTACCTCTCGGTCACCTCTCCAACTTAACCTCATGCCTGTGCCTCAGTTTCTTCAACTACTGAATTGTTCATAAGTTTTCAGTACCTTCCATTCCCTGCTTGCTGTAGACCAAGCTTTGCAGGTCTGCCAATATCTTTTACAACTATTTGGCTCTTAGCTTGCCACCTCTAAACAGCCATAGATAATATATAAATGATGGGTATGGCTATATGCCAATAAAAATCTTAATTACCAAACCATGTGGCAGGACGAATTTCATTTGTGGATGATAATTTGCCAGCCGTTGAGGTAGACCGTCACTGTCCAACAGAACTTACTGGAACAATGGAAATGTTCCATGTAGGTATGGCCCAAAACAGTAGCCAGCAGCCACATGTCTTTACTGAGCCCTTAAAATATAGATGGCACCATTGAGACACTGAAATCCTATCTTTTTAAAATTTTAGTTAATTTAACTTCACATAGACACCTATGGCTCAGGGCTAACATACGGAAGTAGTCACATGTGGCTAGTGTCAGTGCAGGTCACGAATCTTTTGAAAACAGGAAGCATATCTGTGTACCCTGGCTTAAAATTTAGCACAGTGCTTTATCATTTAGCAAGCAGTGAACAACTGCTCATGGGAATCAATAGTTCTGCTTCCTCAAAGGGAACGCCTCTAGGATGGAGAAGTGAAACTTCTGCTAGATCTGGAAGGCTTGGGTTGAGATCTGGATAGATTCACAAATGGAAATGGGCCATGACAAGAAGACAAAGAGGTTCTGACGTAGCCAACAGCACTTTGCAAAGCCCCGAAGACACACTCACTGCTCTGGCAGAAGTGGTAGAGCACGATGGTTAAGTACATGGATTCCCAGCCCCTGCTACTTGAGACTGAATCCCAGCTCTGCAACTTCAGCTACGTGACTCTAGGATGGTTATTGAACGTCTCTTGAGTTTCATCAACTACAAAAGCAGAGTAACAACAGCATCCATCCCACAATTACATGCAATTAGCATGAGCAAAGTGCTTGCTGCTGTTGGGAAACAATGACGAGATCCTGAGAGCAACTGCAAGGGCTGGCGTCATGATTGTGGATCACAAACAGCTCTTACCTGTGCTCTAACAAGAATGCCCTGTTGTGAAAGTGCAAACTGCTGCATCACAAGACCTGCTGGTAACTTGGTTTTGGCATCCACATAGGTATCAAATCTGACAAGAAACTTACTGGATTCCCAGGTCCCTGGTCAAGGCTTCCTATAAAGTCCATCCAGGAAGGAGAAACATACGGCAGCTGCCCCGCCCCATGCTGGCTGGGTTTTATGCCATGTCAGTCCTACCCTGGGAATGCCATGTTTGAGGCAAGTAATCAACATTCCAAGCAGCAACCAAAAACGTTCACCTAGCGGTAAGCATTGTGCTACAGGAGGTTAGGCTGCCTCTTGGGACGTGCACGTACCATACAGGCTACTTGGTTCTAGTACTGGTCACTCTTCTGACCCAGTTTCCTGCTAACGTGCTAGGAGGCAGCAGATGATGGATCAAGTACGTGAGTCCCTGCCACCCATGAGGGAAACCTGGGTGGAGTTCCTGGCTCCTGGCTTTTGCCTGGCACATTCCCAATTCTTGTGGGCATTTGAGAAGTGAACCAGCAGACAGAAGTACATATGCTGGCTCTTGCTGTGTGTGTGTCTCTCTCTTTCAAATGCAGTTTTTTATCTTTAAAAAAAAAAAGACTATGATGATCCAGTAAGAAAAGGAAAATATTATATTGCCATTTAAAAAAAAATGATGCAGGACCAACACTGTGGCACAGCATCCCATATGGGCAGTGGTTCAAGTCCCGGCTGCTCCACTTTCCAATTCAGTTCCCTGTTAAAGTTCCTGGGAAAGCAGTAGAAGATAGCCCAAGTCCCTGTGTCCCTGCCATCCACATGAGAGACCCAGAAGAATCTCCTGGCTCCTGGCTCCTGGCTTTGGAGTAGCCCAGTTCCAACCATTACAGACATCTGGGGAATGAACCAATGGATGGAAGATATTTCTCTCTCTCTCCTCTCTGCATGTATGTGTGTCGTGTGTGTCCTTTAACTCGGCCTTTCAAATAAATAGATAAATCTGAATGGAGCTAGCTATTGGCAGCTCATGAGTAGGGGCCAGGAATGCCCCTGACAGACATGTGATAAGGCACAAAAAATTGTACAACCCACAATGTCAACAGTGCCAAAGTTGAGAAACCCTAAATTAGAGCTAGCCCCAAGATGATTTCAGATATGCAAAGCCACACCCTGGAAGCCTGCAACAAAGACAACTGCAGTCTTTGCTTCCAGCAAGGATTCTGAGATACGAAACTGCAAATTCAGTGAGCTGCAAGACCTGATGATAACCATGTCTCACCATCAAGATGCAACAGATTTCACCCCAATGCTCACACCAGGATCCAGAGCAGGCTGACAAGACCCCTGGCCCTTGTGCTGGGTCACACAGGCCAGAGTCTGATTCCTTCCTGGGCCACTCATTCTGAATGTCAAATGGTAAAAATGTCATCCTTTCTCTTCATTCTCTAGGATGTCCCCATCTCTAACATATGGTAAGAATCAAGTCAGAGGACTTGGCTCAGTCCTGAGTGGCACACAGCAGGTGTTCTGTGAATGAGTTCTCACTGCTTCTAGAGCCAACACATTCAGTGTTGATTTCTCTGAGGATCCAGAAATTTCTGCTGCTTGTGTGTTGATCTGGACAGTTCTTCCCAAAGTCCCAGGAAAGAATGAAGAGAGGAGGAATAAAGAAATACCTCCAGGGCCCGCCACGGAGGCCTAGTTGCTAAAGGCCTTGCCTCGCACACATGGGGATCCCACATGGGCATAGGTTCTAGTCCCAGCAGCTCCACTTCCCATCCAGCTCTCTGCTTGTGACTTGGGAAAGCAGTAGAGGATGACCCAAAGCCTTGAGACCCTGCACCCTGTGTGGGAGACATGGTAGAGACTCCTGGCTTCGGATTGGCTCAGCTCCGGCTGTTGGGGAGTGAATGATTGGATGAAGATCTTCCTCTCTGTATATCTGACTTTGCAATAAAAATTAAAATAAACCTTAAAAAAAAAAAAGAAATGCCTCCAAACTCTGTACTTACCAATGGGTGAGATCCAGGAGTCACCCAAGGCAACCCCAGAAAAATTGCACTTGATGGTCCCTTGCTGAACAGCCTAAAAAGAAACCAAAATAAATGTTTTCAGCAAGGAAACTCTGGGGTCTCCTTCCTTCCTTCACAGAGGGAGCAAGCCACACTAATATACTGGCTTTGCTAAGCACAGATGATGGCCGCCAGCCCCTTCCCAGATCTCTGGTATCACAGGACCACGGAGGGCAAAGCTGTCTCTTGCCGGTGCCATCTGCCAAGTAAGCAGAAGTGTCACAGTGTCTCTAACACAGGGTGCGGGGAGCATGTGCACAGGGCTGCTTGCAGCCCCCAGTCCTCTTCCAGAAGGCCCTCCTCTACGAAGTCCATGATTCCTCCCACAGTGTGCAGGGGGATCCTTGGGCCTAGCAGCCACTGCCAACTAACAGTCTCTGAAGGCCCAGGGCTTCCCCAGGGTGTCCTAGGGCGTGTGGTGCATACTTATGACTCTACTTGTTCCATTCATTTGAAAAGGAATTCATCTGCTCAGCAGGAAAAATTGCAAACAACCTAAGCATTTATTAGTAAAATGGGCTAATGAATTACGTTTGTTTTCTAGGTATCTGATGCAACTTTACGTATTATTATAGATTTAATCTTTGTTTGCATGTGCAAAACCTTATTCAAAGTATAGTCATTAGTGAGTATTTTAAAAACTGTTTTCTGTTCAAAATCACAACAGCCAAGTCATATTTTCTCTTACCTTATAAAGTTCTAGACCAATTCCAGCAGCCATTTTTCCTCCATAGGATTCGGAGAAAATGTAGAATGGAGTCGTCTAGCAAGAAAAGGAATTTACAAAGAATTAAACATCCTGAGTGATTGATCTCATGTTTCTATTTTAATGGCCAGACTGAACAAATTTGCTTTGTCTTTTGACTCCATTCCTTGGTATTATGTCTGACTAGAATACTAGTCATCAGTAGACCAGAATTATACTTTCCAGCCAAAAAATGTCTTTAGAAATGTCAGAAATGAGGGCCCGGCATGGTAGCTCAGTGGCTAGAGTCCTCGCCTTGCATGTGCCAAGATCCCATATGGGCACCGGTTCTAATCCTGGCAACCCCACTTCCCATCCAGTTCCCTGCTTGTAGCCTGGGAAAGCAGTCAAGGACAGCCCAAAGCTTTGGGACCATGTACCCGCGTGGGAGTCAGGGAAGAAGCTCTGGGCTCTTGACTTTGGATCGGCTCAGGTCCGGCTATTGTAGCTGCATGGAGAGTGAATCAACGGATGAAGATCTTCCTCTCTGTCTCTCCTCCTCCTCTCTGGATATCTGACTTTCCAATAAAAATTTAAAAATAAATCTTTAAAAAAAAAAGAAATGGCAGAAACAAAAAATCATAATGCAGTCTTGGAAATAGAACAATTTTCTTTAGAATCAGTCTGGACAGGGGCTGCTGTTATGACACTGTAGGTTAAATCGCTTCTTGGAACACCTACATCCCACATCAAAGTGTCAGTATGAATCCTGGCTCTTCCTTCCAATCCAGATTCCTTCTAATGTGCCAGAGAAGTGAGTGGAGGATGGCCAAGTATTTAGACCCCTATCTCCCACATGGGAAGCCTAGATGGAATCCTTGCTTCCTGGCTTCAGCCTCACCCAGCCTTAACTATTAAAGGCATTTGAGAAGTGAACCAGTGGATGGAAGCTCTCTGTCACTCTGCCTTTAAATTAAATAGATAAGCCTTTTTAAAATTATCATCTGGGCATGGAAGCCTTGGGAGAATTCATGGTTGCTCTGATAAATGCCATGCTACCACCACCTCTCTCCTTGTGTCGTTGCATACCTGAAATTCCTTGTGGCAATCGAAAAAGGTTTTCAACAGGACCATCATGTCCGAAGCCACCATTGCAAGGTCTTTGGCATAGGCAGTGCTCTTGTTCACGTAACTGAATCCCGTGCCCACAGGATTATCCACAAAGAGGAGACTGGCAGCCTGGAGCTGTGTGCCAGAGGAAAAGCAAATGCTGCAGTCAGTCGGCTGACAGCTTCGCCAAGTACAGCAAAGCCCTCATGGTGCACAGAGGCCACCCTGCTGCTTGAGGGAATTCTGAAAAGACACAGGATGGGAATAGAGATTGCAGCGAGAGAAGGAGAGACAAGAGGAAAAGATGAACACACAGGCAATCACAGTCTCCAAACTGGCTGTCCACATAACCCATGGGAGTGGGAAGAACCCCACAGTGTCAGTGAACAGTAACCTGGGCATGCGCGTGTGCTCCCAAGGTCTGACCATCAAGCACTGATTTTCTTCTGGATAAATCCGGCTGCCACACTGATCTGGCTTCCCTGTGCACGAAAGATGACTTTATTCTACTATTTCCATACTGAAATGTAGACAATCTCACATCTAGAAGGAGCCTCTTTGATAACTGAATTTAGTCATATCCTCTACTGGTCAAGAAATGCAACCCCAGTAAGGGCCGCCCACATATGTGAAAGGTAACACTGGGAAGGAAATGATAGCACCAGGACCAGAATCCAGGGCTCTCCACTGGGGCTCTTTGCCCCAGCCTTACTGCCTTCATAGCCCAGAGAAGCCTGTAGACAAGCCAGCAGGGTGCTGTGCTCTGCTACTGGAAGTAGCAAGTACATGAATGTTCCAGGCCAGTAGAACACTAACATGTACGTAGGCAAGACCAGATGGGTTGGCTCCTGATGACGGAGTAAGGCTACAGCAGGAACCCCAAGGACAGCAAAGAGCACCAGCAGCAACAGGTGCAGCTAAGGGAGGAGCAGAACAGCACAGGGCAAAGGAGGGCCATGGCATGGGGGGAAGCCCACAGTTGGTAAAGCCCCAGGCTACTGACTGTGGTTATGCCTCTGCTGTCTGACAGCCTGGGAATAGGGGCTGAGCCAGTTGATAATGGTGGGACTGACCCAAGGGTGGGGTTATAAGGGAGTGTAAAGAGAGAGGATAGGGGCCAGTGCTGTGGCTCAACAGGTTAATCCTTCATATTCAAGCACCAGCATCTCTTAGGGGTGGTGGTTCAGGTTCCAGCTGCTTCACTCCCCATCTAGCTCCTGCTTATGGCCTAGGAAGGCAGCAGAAGGAGGATGGCCCAAAACCTTGGGACTCTGAACCTACATGGGAGATCCAGACAAGGCTCCTGACTTCAGATCAATTCAGCTCCAGCTGTTGTGGGTGGGCACTTGGGGAGTGAACCAGATGGGAGATGGGAGATCTTTCTCTCTGTCTCTCCTTCTCTCTGTAAATCTGCCTTTCCAATAAAAATAAATAAATCTTAAAAGAGAGAAGGGGGGATAGGAAAGGAGATCAGGCAGAGCATCTGGCCAGAGGGAAGATGAGGGGGAAGTGATGCTAAGAATGAGGGGAAAGGATAGAGGCAGAGAACCCAGGAGACATCAGGAAGGAGACAAGGGCCATGAAGTCAGGATGCAAGGTGGGAGGCAAGAGGGATGGGAAAGAATTGGAAGTTGTGAACATGGGTGAGACTCTGGGTTTGCTCTACAGAGAGGACCAATATGAGGGCAGTTGGAGGATAGTGCTAGGGCACAATTCTGAAGGCAGATGGAGAGAAAGTGCTAGACAAAGGCAGGACAGACTGGGGTGGGCTAAGCTGTTCTGAGCATTGAGAGGAGCTGGGCTCCAGGCCTCAGGAAAGGTCAGCACGCAGAGCGGACCGCTGAATTTGTGGGTAGGCGGGGTGGGGCCCAGCTAGAGAATGGCCACCTGACAGTTCACTATACCCAGGTGGTTTTTCGTGGTTTGAGATCAGTGTCAAGAGGTCCAATTTCCTGGAAGTTTCCAAATCCAGTGCTGGAACCACCTGGACCACCCTGTGGAAAAAAACAAACACAAACCCAGAAGACCAAGTTAGCCAAATCTTAGTTATTACACTGGATGCCAGCATTCACTATATAGACAGCTTGTGATTTAATGAGAGCTGTATCAGCCTGCACAAAAAGTCATTTCTCAGCGAATCAGGGTCCTCAATACAGATCAGGTTCCATATCAGAGTGTCAGTCTGAATCCCAAGCACTCTACTTGTGATCCAGCTTCCTGCTAATCAGCCTGAGAAGGCAGCTGACGACTGTTCAAGGGCTTGGGCTCCTGCCACCCATGTTAGGGGCCTGGATGGAGCTCCAGGCTCCCTGCTTTGACCTGACCCAGCCTTGGCTGGTTCAGCTATTTGAGGAGTGAACCAACAGATGGAAGAGCTCAAGTTCCTTTGGTTTCTCTGGTGCTCTGCCTTTCAAATGCAGACAGGAAGTAAGGAAGAGGGCTGGGCTAAAGGTCTATCGCCTTCTGATTTAATGAGTGAGAGCCATGACCTGCTTGGGGGCTCCCCGACCTTTAGCACTGGAGGAGACCTTCATAAGCATCTCACCCTAACCCCCTCATTGCACAGATGTGAGGCCCTGGGCTACCAAGCAATTAGTGGCTCTCACAGGACTAGACCCTGGATCTCATGCCTCCCCATCTCCACACACTCCTCCAAGGGTAGGAGTCTCTCACCTCAGATTTCTAGAACGCCCAGACTCAGGGGAAGTTTTATCAAGCTGATAGTCTGGATATAATGTATCCCACAAAGGCATCCCATGGCAGGGAGCCCATCACCCTGTGCACATCCGGCGGCAGGGACAGACAGGACTCCGAACTAAAGGGGATCCCCACACTGAGAGATGCAGGAGTTCCCTGGCTCTGAAAGCTCTTCTGCTCCAGAGGATGAGCAGGAGGACAGAGAAGAGCAAAACAAGGCAGCCCAGGTGGACTCTCTGAGAGAGACGGGAGGGGGCTTCCCTGGAGAGGCGCAGGGGAAGGAGGCTGCTTTCCTGGACAGATCCAGGGAGCTGTGAGAACAGCACCACCAGCTGCAGTGAGGCGACAGGCCTGGTGTCCAGGACAAAAGGATGCAGCATCACTGTGCACAGCAGCTTGGAAAGGGAAAGGAGAAGAGGAGAGAAGTGAACCGCTCAGACAAAGCAGAAGCCGGGGCCAGAAGAAACAGACAGGGTAGAGTCAGGGATGAGGGGTAACGAGACAACTGCAAGGGGACCCAACACAGAGAACTGGCACCAACCACAGGTTAAAACTAGAAAGCCACAGATGCCTCTCTATGTCCACTTTTTAATCTCAGAATTTCCTATTAAGGAACTTAAAAGTGCACATTATAGATGGAGCTATGCATGGAAATTTATATTGACACCAGAAAAAAATATAGCTAGAAGGTCTCCAGCAGGTGAACAGTAAACCATTGTAACACTACCATAGAGTTACAGCCTCAAAACTGTTGTAGCACCCTTGAAAAATTCTCCTAATGCAATAAGCAACAGATTAAAACCAAGAACTTGAAGGTACCCTTGATTGGAAGCTGGGTCACTTATCCCCTAGTAGACTTAACTGGGCTTGAGACAGAAGCAAAGTGTAAGGGATGGGGGCAGCTGGGAGTTCTATGAGGAGAAAACCCATTTCCTGTTCTGTTTTCTGAGACCACAGTAATGGCAGATGACCACCTCCTGTCACTCCTCTCCCCTGGGATTCTCCCCACAACCACCAAAGCAAGGAGAAGCTGGCAAGAACATCCCATTATAAACTGCTTCCATATGGAACCCCAGAAGGGGGTGCTACCTAACCTGGGGCTATCCAGTGATTCTGACATATGGTAAATAAATCAGTGCTTCCCTGAAACACTTAAGTGCCTTGAAAATGTCCCTAAAATAGCCTGTTCTTCCACTCAGATGATGTGACCTACATTCTTAAAGACCTTCCACAGAGAAGTCAGTGTGTGGGTCCTCCCGAGGCTGCTAAGACAGACCTTTTCTTAATCTAAATTAATTGTCTATCTCAGTCATCAAGTTGTTCTTATTCCCCCACCCCCCTTTGGCTGGGGCTGGGGAGGGCGGGGATTGGAGGAGAGCAACTGTCTTCTGCTGATAACTTTCCAACAGCCTCTCAGCTCAGAAGGTGTCCTAAGGCCAGGTCACAAACTGCATGGTCCTGGGTGCTGAGCAGAGGATGCAGACACCAACCCGATGGGGTAGGGTTCACCCTCCTCCCACAACCCCCAGCATTTCCAGACCTTTCTGGGAAGCGGGCTGCCATTGACCAGATTTGGGAACAGTGAACTCATTCAAACCCAAGCTGAAAATGCTGGCAATCCCATTAAAACTACCCATTAATCCACTGGGTCAGTGTTCTGTCTCCGCCAGCAGCTCCAGTAGGGGGTGCACTCTGGAAGTCTATTTAAGTTTCCTTTTTATTTGAAAGGAAAGAGGAAGGGAGAGAGCTGCTGGTTCACTCCCCAAACGATCACAATAACAGGCCATCCCTGTCTGCGGGGCCACTAGCAGCGAGCAGGGTTGGAACAGGAGCTGCTGCCGTCACAGCAGTGTTACCCCCACCTGCGTGGGGCCTAAACTGTGGTTCCCGGCTCTTCTGTGGTCTCAGTGGCACCCTCTGCCTTTGCTGCCAGCTGGTGCCCAGTGCCAGGCACACCCCCCACTTTGCTGCTGCTCCCCTGCAGTCTGTGACCTGCACTGACCAATGGTACATGATGGGATGCTGGGGTATTACATGTAAGGCATCTGCCTTGGTGCCACCATCCCATATGGTACCAGTTCTAGTCCCGGCAGCTCTGCTTCCCCTCCGGCTCCCTGCCTGTGGCCTGGGAAAGCAGCGCAGGATGGCCCACAGCCTTGGGACTCTGCATCCACCTGGGAGACCCAGACACGCTCCTTGCTTCAGCCTGGCCCAGCCCTGGCTGGTGAAGCCATTTAGCAAGAGAACCAACATATGGAAGATCATGTCACCCTCTGTTGTAATTCTGCCTCTCAAACACAAAGAAGTAAATCTTTTAAAAAATAAACAAAAATAATTTTTTTTAAAAAACTACCCATTAAAACTAATCCAATTAAAACTATTCCACCCCATCTCACGCTCCAAAATGCAGTGTTTTTCAAACTATTTCACAGAGAGCCCAGAAAGTATCCCCAGAGGGTAACCAGCAACAAATATGAACTTTAGTCTGAGTGTGAAAAAAAAAGTTGTGCCAATTAATAAATAACGAGGTTGGAAACCAAGATCCAGAGAAAGCCATGCTGTGGCCACCAGCAAGGTTCTGCCAGCACGCTGTACCTTGCCCTCCAGCTGCTTGCAGTGGACAGGTTGCCCTGAGCCCTCTTTTTATCTGCATTCCTGGGCTGAGCCTCACCTCCAGCCATGGGCACCTCTGATGACACTCTGAGAGAAAGGCCCTGCCCTGAGAACAGCTCATCCTCATTGCATCTTGCCAGGAAGCCTGGGCCCTGAGAGGCTGCCCATGAACACTGGTTTGTGGGCAGGAAGTCTCATTCCCATACCAGGTAGCTGCAGGCCAGGGTTGCCCTATTTACTGGTAAGTGACCTGGAACCTGGGCGGGGCCCAGGGCTGAAGCAAGACCCTGTTCCTCAACCCCTCCCTAGAGACAGGCCCTTCCGGTAGGTGTGGGCCACCTCTGGACACATACTTCAGCAATGCCAGGAAGGGTCCAGTGGCTCTCCCAATGGGCCCTTCAACCAGCACGCAGCCTGTAGTGCTGCACTCAGAGCTCTTTAAAGTGCAAGCACATGTAGGGGAAAGGGTGGAGCTCAGCATTCACACTAAGATACAAAGGCTGGTGACTAGCGGTCCCTTCACACAGTGAGCTTTTCTGGGGTGAAGAAGTGAGCTTCAGGGCAGTTATCGGGGTGCAGCACTATTTGGGATGCCCCATCCCATATCAGAGTACAGTGCAAGTCCTACTTGCTCTGTTTCCAATCAGGCTGATGTATCCTAGAAGGTAGATAATGGCTCAGGTACTTGGGTCCCTGCCATCCCCATGGGAGACCTGGACAGAACTCAAGTCTCCTGACTTCAACCTGGCCCAGCCCTGGCTATTGCAGTCATTTGGGAAGTTAAGCAGCTGATGGAAAATCTCCCTGTTCTTTCTGTCTAATCTGCCTTTCAAGTAAATGAAAAATAAGCCAGTTTTTTTTTTTTTTTTTTAAAGTAAGGGCCCAGCAAAGGACTATAATGAATGAAAGCAAAAGCAGCCTTGCTTTAAAACCTTTCAGAAGTCTTATGAGTAGGGATACACAGATGCAACACCGAGAGCCTCACCCTCCATGCAGGCTTCCTAGGCTAGCATTGCCCCAGGAGGATGCTGCCTACCACTCCCCACTCCGGCCTGGCTGCGGAGCCCTGAAGAATGAAGTGGGGAAGTCCTGGCCTCAAGCTAAGGGCATACAAGGAAACCACCTTACCTGCAGCCACATGACCAGGGGCAGTTCTGAGAAGTTCTTGCAGGGGTGGGTGGCATAATAGAGCCACCAAAACATGTGGGCATCCTGGCGGACGGTCACGTAGTCCCACACTTCCTTGCCCTCCTCTGTGGGACCATCAGTGACAGCTCCTGCAACATAAGCTCAGGTTCATTGTCCTGAAGAACGCTGCTGGCACAGGTCCCAGCCTAGTGGATATGGCCATGCTGGGTTGGACATGACTGGTTTTATGTTTCAGACCATTTACTCACCCAAATCTACAGAAAAAAAAAAAAAAGAAGAAGAAGAAAAAAGAAAAGAATTCTAAGCTATGAGAAAAGGAACCAGAGTAACACAGGAGGCAGTAGGTTTTTAACCTTTTTCTCTCCCATCTTTCTGTAACCGTTGAACACTTTTACAGCTTTGTAAAACTGAGGAGTTCAAGACTATTTGAGGGCAAAAAAAATTACTATCTCAAAATGTAACATACTACTTTTTAGTATCACATAGGATACCTGGTTAAGGACTCAACACGTATTAGTGGGACTAAACCTACTCAATATATGGTGCCATCACTACTGTTAACTTTTCTGGAAGAAAAAAGTCAAAATTTCAGTTCTGTGAACATTATAAGCTAAAATGAATTCTAAGTAGACTAAGTATTAAATTCAAATATTAGAAATAACTACAAAAATACATAATCAGCCCTCCAGATCCACACAGTTGACTAACCTCGGATCAAGAATATTTGAAGGGGCAGGCGTGGTCCAGTGAGTTAAGCTGCCGCTTAGGACTCCTACCTTCCACACTACAGTGCCAATTCAAATCCCAGCCATTCCACTTCCAACCCAGCTCCTGCAAATGCACCTGGGAACCAGCAGATGGCGGCTCAAGTCCTTGAGTTCCTGCCACCCCCACTGGAAACCTGGAGGGAGCTCCTGGTCCCTGGCTTCGGCCTGGTCCATCTCAAGCTGTGGTCAGAATTTGGAATGCTCTATGTATCTCACTGTGTTCATTCTACCTTTTAAAAAAATTTTGAAGCTAAAAATAAAAACAATGAAATAATACAAATATAGCACAGCAACCATTTACACTGCATTTACATTTTTAGAATTAAACTAAGCTAAAGAAAATTTAAAGTATACAGGAGGATGCATGCAGGTTATATACACATAGTACCCCATTTTATATGAGAGATATGAATAAATATCCATGGATTTTGACATCTGAGGAAGGAACAATTTCCCCTGAGAGGCATTGAGGAATGAACATGGACAAGGAATCCCAGAGATTGGAAAGAAAAACAGTAACAATTGAGGACAGAAACTAATCAAATCTCTCAATAACAGAATTCTTGAATATCAAACATAAAAGTGAGAATAGTAATGAAAGATGGGTGACAAATATAAAAAGGAGTAATTATCCTTACCCAATATGGAGCAACTTTTTAATGTGGAGATTTGTATGTGTGAATGTATGTAATATGCATATGTGTTTACCTACATGGACACACGTAAATGTGTAGATATCTATATACTTATAAAGATATACAAATATATACAGACACATATAAACTCCTTTAATTTTCCAGCTTCAGTTTTCCTTACTTAACTCTCCCAGCCTCTGCAAAACACGCCTTGCAAAACAGCAGGTTAAATCACATTCTATGTCACCTGTCAAGTAGCCACTTCCAAGTTACCGTATCTTTCCTTTTTCTCAAAAGTCACTCTGGGGTTAAAAATCAAAAGGCTACTCGTGTTCAAAGATGAAAAGGGAAGAGTTCTTGGGTAACTGCAGTTGTCTGCCTTCTATTTCCTCCTTAAATCACGAGCCTCTTTGGCAAGGGGATTAAAAAAAAAGTGACTCAAGAGAGAAGAGATCTAACTAGAGGAGACAATTTTGTGCTGAAAACAAGCATGAAGATGGAGAAAATCAAGACATCTGAGGTGTGGCAATAAGCAAGGTCCCTGAAACTGCTAGTCACCCTGGGAGCCTGGGAAGGCCCCCTGCCTGCCCCTTTGCACCCAAACCCTGGGTGTGGGCAGGGTGGCTGGTGGAATCTTGGCAGCTTTTCTGCGGAAGCACAGGGGAAGAACCTAACTTAAGGAAAATGTCCCGTTCCTAGCAGAACATTCCTGTCAGCACTTTTCCCTGACTCTGATGACTGCCAAAATACAAGACGCCGACTACTGCTACACACAAGCCTGACAGTCCCTATATGTTAAAATGGGAAAGATCACAGAGTTGGAATTCCCAGTCCTCGTTTCAGATCAGGAAACATTGGGTTGAATGAAGACTGGAAATCAATTTGCAAGTCATCCTATTACACAAACGTGGCTTGTTTTTTCTTTTTGTTTTTTTTGCCTACAAAGATCTTGGTGGAGCAGTCCTCAGGGAGCAGGACCCCAACGTTCCCTTCCTGGTAGGATTTTCAAGGGTCTATCCGAGTACCAGCCTCACAAGGCAACCAGCGGCCAATGCAGGCAGAAAAGGGACGTGGCGTTAGCACCGTGGAAATGTCACTGATCAGCGTTTTCCCAAACCATGTTATTTTCTCACAAGGGGAGAAGCAGGCATCAGAACACCCAGAACTAGAAAAGGAAAGAAAAGGCCCTTCAATTAAAAAATACAAACAAAAAATAGAGTAAGGTTCAAAAGCACTACAAAGACACGCAAGGTAGGAACCTTACGGTAACAAACTTTCAGCTCCAGAGAGAGGAGGCTGCCCGGGTCGCTGATCACCTTCAGCTAGAACCTACCTATGCTCAGGCCCAGCAGCAGCGGCGGCGGCAGCAGCAGCAGCAGCAGCGGCCACCGAGGGCCGGGACAGACCGGCGACAACAGCTCCATGACGAATACCGCGCGGCAGCATCAGCAACAGGCTGGACCCTGGGCCCCCATCACGTGACGGCCGCGGGCGGGACCGGGGCGGGCCTGGGGGCGGGACAGGCCGACTTGCACCCACGCAGGGCGGTTCCTGCCTTGTGTCGTTGACTGCCCTTGCTGGACCGGGGTGCTGGCAGGAGACGCCGAATTGGTTTATTTGACCAGGGTCGTGGGGCGGCAGAGAGACCAGAGAGGCCAGAGAGGAATACCGTGGCTCTTGCTGTCCTACCCATCTCCGCCTCGGCCGAGAAAAGGCTTGCTGCTCCATATTGCTCCAGTCACATGAAGCAGGAAGTAGCTGATGGTTGGAAACTGGAATTCCAGTTTTAGAATGTGTTTTCAAAGTTACTTATCTTTTAAAATTACGTGTATGATGACCACTTTTGGAAAGGAGAATTAGAAAGTTCATATATAACCGTTATTAACATTTGGAGATCTTGTCTTCATGGTTTTTACTTCATTCTTTGAAAATATATATATTTCTGTGTGAAAGGCAGATTTACAGAGAGGAGAGGCTGAGAGAGAGATCTCTTCCATCTTCTAATTCACTCCCCAAATGTCTACAATGGCTGAAACTAAGCTGATCCAAAGCCAGGAGCTTTTTCTGGGTCTCCCAAGTGGATGCAGGGACCCCAAGGACTTGCTCCACTGCTTTGCCAGGCCACAAGCAGGGGTCTGGATCGGAAGTGGAGCAGCTGGGACTAGAACTGGTGCCCACATGGGATGCTGGCACTGCAGGTGGAGGATTAGTCTGCCAAGCCACGACACCAGCCAACCTGTTCATGTATATGGTGATTTTCATACTTGGAGTGACTACTCTCCAATAGCGGAGGTGCTGTGGCATAAAAAGGCTTCACAGATGAATGGTGGACTCACTCCGCAATGGCGATGAAGGCACAAAAGGAGAAGCACTGCCTCATGAAACCAGGAGGCATCAGGATGGGCATCACCTGGGTGGGCACATGAGGTCGTTTCCTGCTGGTAATGGGAACGCAGTGGACATAACTTGTCTATCTCAAAAGGTGTCTGAGTTACACAGGCATATCCTTTTGTCTCTCTGCTAATACATAAGGAAAGCAGTGGAACATAGCCCAAGAACTTGGGTTCCTGCACCCATGTGGGTTACCCAGATGGAATTAATGGCTTCATGTGCCCAGGCCTGGCCATTATGGCTGTTTCAGGAATAAACCAGTAGGTGGAATATCTTTCTTTCTATCTGGTTTTCAAATGTGTGTGTGTGTTGAAGATTTATTTATTTTTCTTGGAAAGGCAGATTTTTACAAAGAGAAGGAGAGACACAGAAAGATCTTCCATCTGCTGGTTCATTCCCCAAATGGCTACAGTGGCCAGAGCTGAGCTGAGCCAATCTGAAACCAGGAAGCAGGAGTGTCTTACAAGTCTCCTACATGGGTGCAGGGTCCCAAGGCTTTGGGCCAGCCTTGACTGCTTTCCCAGGCCACAAGCAGGGAACTGGAAGGGAAGAGGGGCAGCTGGGATACAAACCGGCGCCCATATGGGATCCCAGTGGTGCGCGGAAGGCTACCATGCCAGACCAATTAATTTTTTTAATGCATTTAAAAAAAGAGGAAGAAAAGAAAGGAAAATGTCTGGGCCAGTATTGTTGCACAGTACAGTAGGCTAAGTCTTCTCTGTAGCACCGGCCTCTCACACGGGTGCTGGTTTGTGTCCCATCTGCTCTACTTCTGATCCAGCTCCCTGCTCATATGGCCTGGGGAAGCAGTGGAGAATTCTTCAAGTCTTTAGTACCCTGCACCCATGTGGGAAACCCAGAAAAACGCTCCGGGTTTCAAACAGGCTCAGCTCAGGTCATTGTGGTCATTGGGGAGTGAACCAGCAGATGAAAGATATCTCTCTCTGTCTCTCCTTCTCCATGATAAAGATAATAAAGATGCTTTGTTGGTTCATTAAAGTTAGGAGGCAGGAGCTTATGGTAGAGGGATGTTAGCCAAGACAATGGAAGACAGTTGCCATACAGAAATGCAAGAGAAATTTTCTGTTTTGTTCCTAGCAGAAGAGAGAGGGATGAAAAGAAGAGGGGGTGTTTGGAGAAAGACCAGCCAAAAAGAACTGAGACTAGAGGGAGAGCCAGTGGGGATTTCTGTAATAGGGAGTGGCTTCAGGACATGAAACCGGATGCTTGTGGTTCAATATGGCCTTGATAGCATTTCTGCAAAACACGCTTGTACTCTTTTGGGACTGTCTTTGAGACAGATGAAAAATAAACCAGAGGTGCAAGGAAAGCAATGAGACTGCAAGAAAGATACTGGGATCTTACTTCAAAACTATGTTCACAAAAACTTTCCATTTGAAAAGTCGCCTGTTAATTTTGGAAAGGGATTTGGAGGCTGATGGAGATTAATTGGGCTCGTTAAAGGTGCTCCTGGTGATCTTCTCCATTTGCAGAACTTGCCTTCACATGGGCTTTCATGTGCTGTTCCACCCGCAGGGAATGTTGTAGGGACTCAACTTGACACGTCTGGCCACCATCTTGCCCTTTGGGTGACTCCAGGGGTCATCCCAAATCCACTGGGGCAAACAAAGTCTTTACCATAAACTGCCGGATTTGTCTTGCCATTGAATCCTGGAACATTCATTCCTAAGTCCTAAGATGTTACTGTTTCTTCTTAAAAAAAAAAAAAAAAAAAAAAAAAAAAAAACTTCAGCGAATTGCATAAAGAGAAGAGAGAGAGAGAGAGAGAGAAGAGAGAGAGAGATCTTCCATTCACTGGTCTACCCCCACAATGACTGCATTGGCCAGAGCTAGGCTGGTCTGAAGTTGGCAGCCAAAAGTTTCCTCTGGGTCCCCTCGTGAGTGCTGGGGCCCAAGGACCTGGGCCATCTTCCACTACTTTCCCAGGCTACCAGCAGGGAGCTGGATCGGAAGTGGAGCTACCAGGACTGGTGCATACCCATATAGGTACCAGCACTGCAGGCAGAAGATTAGCCCAGTATGTCACAGCACTAGCCTCAAGATGTTGCTATTTCTGGGCCCGGCGGTATGGCCTAGTGGCTAAAGTCCTCGCCTTGAACCCGCCAGGATCCCATAATGGGCCGCCGGTTCTAATCCCGGCAGCTCCATTTCCCATCCAGCTCCCTGCAATTAAGGATGGCCCAAGGCTTTGGGACCCTGCACCCGTGTGGGATGCCCGGAAGAAGTTGCTGGATCCTGGTTTCGGATTGGCCCAGCATTGGCCATTGCGCTCACTTGGGGAATGAATCATCGGATGGAAGATCTTCCTCTCTGTCTCTCCTCCTCTCTGTCTGACTTTCCAATAAATAAATAAGTCTTAAAAAAAAAAAGATGTTGCTATTTCTTGAGAAAGTCGCAATGTCTGTGACTTCGCCCCAGATTGCGATTGTTTAATAACCCTTTCCTCCTGCCTTGTGGCGTGGAAATCCATGTGAAGGAGCTCTAGAAAATGGCTAATAACCGTTGAGCCTTCCCCTGCCAGTTCTCTTGGCGGGAAGGTTTCCCCAGAACTGTAGACTCAGCTTAGGTGAGGACCTTCTTGACAGATCCTCACAGCGTGCTGGATCTCACCTTCATCACATGCACCATGCTTTTGAATAATCATGTGTGTGGCTAGTTGTTAACATTATCTTCCTTGCTAGACTGTCAGTTCCATATAGTTGAATATCAGGCCATCATTGGCAGTTGACCAAACTGTAATCATAAGATGACAGTTGAGATCTTCCCACATGAATCAGGCATGGAATTGATCCTTGGACAGGATTTGGGTGTGATTCTTCTTCTGTGGTGTACAGAGCCCAAGAGGCCCTAGCACACTGAGGGCCCAGAAGTAATGAGGGTATTGTTGGAGTCAGAGGACTTGGGTGAGTGTGGACTAGGAGAAAGGACCCTGAGCACAACTGGCTGTCATACCACCGAATGAGCATTTGCCCATGTGAATCCATGGAAGAGGGTTGGACAAGCAGGCAGTCACATGGCTCCATCTGTGTGTCAGTCAGCCTTGTTGTGCCGGGTGCAAAAACAAGGTGCCCTTCCTCTTCTACAGGGCTAATTACCACGGGAGTGATCAGAGGCCAACCAGGTTAATAGTCATGATGTGAAATCACATCAAAGCCCTCAGGTCAAGGTGGAGGCAGGATCTAAGCAGGCTGGACAAAGCTGTGTGGGTCAGGAAGATAAGGGCCATGGAATGCACTAGAAAGAATTCTTGGGAGCCACGGAAGCCCATTGGGGTTTTGTGTGCCCCTCTCTGCTTTCTCAATGCAGAAGCCTACTTTAATGGACCATGGGAAAGTGATAAAAATGATACACTTTGTGATGGTTGTTTTATCTTTTTTAAAAAATGTATTTTAATTTTCTTTGAAAGGTAGAGAAAAAAGAGAAAGCTCTTCCCACTTACTAGTTCATTCCCCAAATACCCACAGTAGCCAGGGTGGGCCAGGCCAAAGCTGAGTTCCCAAGTACTTGAGCCATCATCTGCTGTACCCCGGGATGCAAACCAACAGGAAGCTGCAGCAGAAATGGCAAGACTTGAACTAGGCATGCAGGTGTCCTAAGCCTCAACGATGTTCACTGCAATGCTCACTCCTGTTGCTTTATCTTAAGTGACACGTTTGAGCTGTTAATAAAATGATATGTCATGAATAATCCCCCCAAAAATATATATGATATTGATCTGCTATGCCTGTTTCCATCTTTAGTTTTTTAACTTTAAATTCCTTTGGATGTAGTGATAGGCATGTACCAAGAGGTGTGGGTGTATCAGAACAGGCTTTGACTCTTGAATTTCCAAAGTCAAAGGGATTTAGACGCCAGAGGCTGAGTGTACCTGAGCACACCTGGCCCAGTGACACCTTGGGCCACACAGTGTCTCCCGCCACCAGGGGGCAGCAGTAGCCTGCCCGGTTAGGGAGCGTGGACTTTGTCCCCACCCTGCAGCAAGGAGCGGGTACCCTCTGTCGGCCTGCAGAGCAGTGTAGGAAAAGCCAGCTGACACAGAGTAAACACATCTGTGTTTAGAACATTCACCACACACAGCCCTTTTGTTCTTTCATATGTTGGACAGCTTTTCATATCGATGTATTTTGAATCCCCTCGAGAAAGATCAAACGGAATCAGTCATGCTTTACCCAGACAGCGGGCTGTTAGTAGCCACTGAACAAACAGATGCTAGCTTCCTCAAGGCTATCCTAGTCACCGGCATTTACTTTGTTTCCGGGAGGTTGCTGTTGTAACCAACACTGCACAGGAGGTTTTGCCCGGGGCCGTCAAGCTCTCTCTAGGGGAGGAATGGCTGGATCCAAGGGCACCTGCAGGGATGGCTGCTGTGGCACTGTGAGTTGAGATCTCTGAATAGCAGAGTGCCTGGAATCCAGTCATGTACTTCTCATTCAGCTTCCTGCAAATGTCCCTGGGTATTTGTGTGCCTGCTATCCATGTGGGAGACCTGGATAGGGCTCCTGGCTCCAGGCTTCAGCCTAGCCCAGCCTTGGCTGTTACAGGCATTTAGAAAGTGAACCAACAGATGGAAGACTCTCATTCTCTCTCTCTCTTTCTCTTCCACTGACCCCTCAGATGATTCCCACTTCTTTGTTTTTTTTTTTTTCCACAATATTAAATAAGAAACTGAGTCTTTGGTTGCTAGTAAAAGTATGTTTGAAAGATAAATCTTTACATTTTTTTCATCATACAGCCTGGAAGGAACATAAGGAATTGACTGGCACGGCCTACATGAGTCCTTCCCTTCTTATTTACATGAGCAAGTTTTCTGAGGAAAAACAAAAACAGGCCCTTAGTTGAGGTGGAGCTCTGCTTAGTAACACTCATCCTCAGACTCCTGGACTAATGAAAAACCCCACACAGCTTCCCTTTTAGAAGGCATGTGTCCATGTTCGCTTTATTTTCCCTACTTAATAATGTATTAATTAAAGTGTTTGAAGCTATTGATCAATTGTGTACCATTAGTAATTATAATGATAATTTAACCCGGAAGACCTAAAACTTTAGGGAAAAACTCAAAATAACTTATTTAAGAAATATTTATTAATTTATTTCTTGAAAAGCAGATTTAACACAGAGGAGAAACACAGATCTTTTATCTAGTGGTTCACTCCCCAAGTGGTTGCAATGACTGGAATGTCTTCTAGGCCTCCCACGTGGGTGCAGGGGCCCAAGCACGTAGGCCAACCTCCCCTGCTTTCCCAGACACATTAACAGGGACCCAAATCTGAAGTGGAGCAGCCAGGAGTGTCCATATGGGATGCTGGCACCACAGACAGAGGATCAGCTTGCTACATCACTGTGTGGATCCCAACTTGGAAACCTTTTTCAGAGCATCTTCTGAGTGTCAGAAACCTACCTTGGGAGAAGTTACTCAACCTGCCTGAACCTTGCTTTTGTTTTTAAATTTTTTTTAAAGATTTATTGCAATGCAGAGATATGGAGCGATGGAGATCCACTGAGATCTTCCGTCTGTTACATTCACTCACCAAATGCCAACAAGGGTCAGGGCCAGGCCTGGCTAAAGCTGGGAGCCTGGAACTCCAACTGGGTTTAGCCCACATGGGTGGCAGGAGGCCATGTGGGTTATATTCCATTTCCACTGCTTTCCCAGGCACATCTGCTGGGAGTTGCATCAGAAGGGGAGAAGCCAGAACACAAACTGGTGTGTCCCAGGCAGTGGCTTAGCTCATGATTCTTGGGTTTATTATGTTTTATATTTACATTTATTTATTTGATTGGAAAAGAAGATATATAGAAAGAAGGAGAGATAGAAAGATCTTCTGTGTTCTGGTTCACTCCCTAAGTGGCCGCAATGGCCAGAGCTGAGCCATTCTGAAGCTTGGAGCTTCTTCTGGGTCTCCCAAGTATGTGTGGGTGTAGGGTCCCAAGGCTTTGGGCCGTCCTTGATTGCTTTCCCAGGCCACAAGCAGGGAGCTGGATGGGAAGTGGAGCAGCCGGGATTAGAACTGGCACCCCTGTAGGATGCAGGCACCTGATGGGGGAGGATTAGCCAACTGAGCCATTGCACCAGGTCCTGACTCTCGGGTTATAAATCTTCTGAATGAAGATAACAATTCACACCCTTGTCACAAAAATTAAGAGTTAATATATATTATGCAGGAAAACAAAAAATTCTACTAAGAAAACAACAAATAATGTGAATTTTTGCACTTACCTATATACAGATAAATAACTTATTTTTGTATTTGATAATATGGATGCCGTGGGAATTAAAAAGGTATTTATAGCTCTCTGGGTATATTTACAAGAGCGATTCATGAGTCTGCTTTCAAATGTCAGTCTTGACAGCATGCTAGAAAAGACATTTCTTTCAACTCTTCTGGGTGGAAAAAATGGTCAACTAAACCTATTGGGAGGGAAAAAGTCTCTGAAGTACCTTAGAATACCACTGGTGACTAGTGCTGGTTCATCCAGCGACTTGCTCTAATTTGAGCTGGAAGGAAAGGAATTTTTTAAAAGCATTTATTTCTCTCTTCCCTTGCCCTGTCCCGAGGGGAGCTATCCGCGGCGCTCCTGCAGTGGCCGCCTGCTGCCGGCAGGGGCACGCCGAGGCGGCTCCGGGGGGCGGGCCGCCGGAGCACGAGAGCTTTGTGGTCGCTCTCGGCTTCCGTTGAGGACGGCAAGATGGCAGCCTCCGAGACGGTTAGGTTACGGCTTCAATTCGATTATCCGCCGCCAGCCACTCCACACTGTACAACCTTCTGGCTTCTGGTCGACCTGAACAGATGCCGAGTCGTCACGGATCTCATCAGCCTCATCCGCCAGCGCTTCGGCTTCAGTTCGGGGGCCCTCCTGGGCCTCTACCTGGAAGGGGGGCTCCTGCCCCCGACGGAGAGCGCGCGCCTGGTGAGGGACAACGACTGCCTGAGGTGCGCGTGGCGGCGGCGTGGACTGGGGGCCGTGGACTGTGGGCGGTGGGCTGTGGGCCGTGGACTGTGGGCGGTGGACCGTGGACTGTGGGCCGTGCGCGGTGGGCCGTGGACTGTGGGCCGTGCGCGGTGGGCTGTGGGCCGTGACTGTGGGCCGTGCGCGGTGGGCGGTGGGCGGTGGGCGGTGGGCCGTGCGCTGTGGGCGGTGGGCTGTGGGCCGTGGACTGTGGGCGGTGGGCCGTGGACTGTGGGCCGTGCGCGGTGGGCGGTGGGCGGTGGGCCGGGCGACCCCGCGGCCCCGGAGCCCGGCGCGGAGCTGGGGGAGGCGTGCCTTGTGTTGCCCAGGCGTTGGTTAGATCACTCAGGTGTTTGGGGTTCAGGTAGAGGAATGGAGACATGCAAAGATAACCCCAAGTGTGCTTTTGGAAATTAAACAACAAAGGTTGCACGGGTTGCCTGTCCAGGAGCCGCCGGATGCGTGGACTGTTGTGTGGCTGCCTGGAAGATGCGAAGTGGAAATGTGGTCATTCCAGTTCAGATCGTTCTGGGGCTTCCTCACTTCCCCTGCTCCACTTTAGACTTTTTTTTGTTTTTAATGTATTTGAAAGACAGATACCCCATCTGCTGTTTCGCTCCCCCAAATACCCACAGAGGCCAGAGCTTTACCAGAAACTCAGTGCAGGTCTCCACCATGTGTCAGGCAGGAATCCAGCAAGAGTCGTCACTGCCACCTCCAGGGGCACGGATTAGCAAGAAGCTGGAGCCGGAGTCGGAATGGGCGTGGAGCCCAGGCATGGGAGAGGTGGGCAGGCATGGGAGTGATGGGCATCCCAAGCAGCAGCATCTTTTTTGAAGTTTTTTTTTTCTTTTTTTTTTTTTTGAAAGGCAGATTTTACAAAGAGGAGAGATAAAGATCTTCTGTCTGCTGATTCACTCCCCAGGTAACTGTAATGGCCAGAGCTGAGCTGATATGAAGCCAGGAGCCAGGAGCTTTTTCTGCGTGTCCCATGCAGATGTCTCCCAGGTATAGGGTCCCAAAGCTTTCGGCTTGATGCTTTCCCGGCCACAAGCAGGGAACTGGATGGGAAGTGGATACAAACCGTAGCCCAAATGGGATGCCACCACCTCAGGTGGAGGATTAGTCAGTATTCCAGCCTCTCTACTTTTTAAAATGTCCAGCTTCAGGTAAATTTTAGCAACTGAAAACAGACAATACTGTGTTATGTTCTCAGAGTTAACCTTAATGTTGTTGGAGTAGACCAAAATACATATTTTCATGATTCTAAATGTTACCTTCTCATGTGATACAGATAGGTCGAATAGTTAGACTAGATTACACTAAGAACAGGAAATAGTTGAGAAAGGAGATGTTACTGTTGGAATCTCAGGGTACATGTAAGGATGGATAGGAGCTGCTGAGTGGTCCAGGTGCAGCTATGCAGGCAGATGCCAGCCTGGCTTGGGGGAGAGATGCTTTCAGCCAGCAAAGGATTCTGTGGAAATGCAGGAGTTCCTGAGAGAAATTCGGGGCAGGCCTGAGGAATAACCTTGAGTTTCTAGAGGCATCGCTGACTCTTGCCCCAGGGCTCTGATGTCATCTGCTTCCAGGCTGAGGAGGGTGAGCTCCTACAGGTGACACCTGACTCTCCTGGGAGGAGGAGGTGCTGCCCGAGAGGGTGCTGAAACAACACCGCACACTGTGGCTAACTGGACCGTTTCAGCCGTCCAGGATCAAGGTGCTGGCAGGTGTCTTTCTCCTGAGGCCTTTCCCGTTGGCGTTTGGACGGCTGCCTTCTCCCTGCATGGTCTCACAGTCTTGCCTGCTTGTAAGGACACAGGTGAGATGGAACTAGGAGTTACCCCAGGGGGCTCATCTTGACTTGATCCACTCTTCAAAAGGCCTTGACTCCATATAGTCACATTCTAAGGTGCTGGGAGTTAGAATTTCTTTTTTTTTTTTTTTTTTTGAGATTATAAATTTTTTTTTAATATTTTGACAATCTTTACATAGTTAATTAGGGTAAAAAGGTTCAAGGGCTATAGGAAAGTGGGTAAGACTATTACTTTTTCCATATTGTTTCCTTCCTGTTTAAAGGGGGGTATTAAGGGAGAAGGCCCACCCAATTTCCCACCCTCCCCATGTCCCAGATGTAGGGTCTGCTCTGAGGTTCTTGCTCAAGTGGATTCGATATTTCAACAGTTACGAATCGCTGCCAATCTTGCCACTCCAAGCACTGTGAGGTCCTTGAAGAATCCACTGATTGACATAGTCCATCATAGAGTCTCTGTTTGCCTCGTATTTCGTTGCCAAGATATAGCTGAGATGATTGGTTGACCTGTCTTTTCTCTTTTCTTGGTTAGGGGGGAGTTAGAATTTCAAATAAGAATTTTAATGGGATGCGGCCAGCTCATAAATTCCCCGATGAGAGCTGGTTACAACAATTGATTTGGAGAGTGACAAGGTAGAATAGAGATTTCCTTCAGGAAAGAAGTTAAGGGCATTCTCTTTTAGCTCTTTGAATTCTATGGCATTTAGTGTCCAGTGAAGTGGTACCGATGGGTTCTCATTTCATGTTACTGTTAAGCGAGGCTCCTCGGATGTCCACTCAGGCCATGTCGGTGAGGCACAGGGATCTCGCGCAGGGTGAGGACAGTTGGCTTCCTGGAGCCTCGAGTTGCGGTTGCCCACGCTTACACAGCTCTCAGTCAGCCGACCCTGGGTGTTGTCTGCAGCGCGCTGGCAGTTTCTGGGATGTCAAATACAAGAGCTGTTCCCTCATGTCAAGGAGCATGCCTGTCTAATGCCCATGGATAAAGTTGGACATAGACTGCTTTTGTTTCTGGAGCATATATAACCATTCCTTTTCATATTTCTCTTAAACAAAAAATTGTTGTTAATAGTTTAAGGGTCCCATGCTGTAGCATAGTGGCTAAATCCGCGTCTTAATTCTCACCTTGTAAGCGCTGGGATCACCTATGGGTGCTGGTTCATGTTCCAGCTATTCCACTTCTTTCAAGCTCCCTACTTGAGGCCGGGGAAAGCAGTGAAGCATGACCCCAAAGCCTTGGGACCCTGAACCCATTGGGAGACCCGAAAGAAACTCCTGGCTCCTGGCTTTGGATTAGCTCTGCTCTGGCCATTGTGGCCACTTAGCAAGTGAACCAGTGGATGGAAGATCTTTTTCTTTGACTTCTTTCTGTAAATTTGACCTTCCAACAAAAATAAGTCTTTTAAAAAATTATACTTTAGGGCCTGGCGTGGTAGCTCTGCAGCTAAAGTCTTTGCCTTGCATGTGCTGGGATCCCATATGGGCACCAGTTCTAATCCCGGTGGCCCTGCTTCCCATACAGCTTCCTGCTTGTGGCCTGGAAAAGCAGTCAAGCATGGCCCAGCCCTTTGGGATCCTGCACCTGTGTGGGAGATCTGGAAGAGGCTCCAGGCTCCTGGCTTTGAATTGGTGCAGCTCTAGTTATTATGGCTACTTAGGGAGTGAACCATCAGACAGAAGATCTTCCTCTCTATCTCTCCTTCTCTCTGTATATCTGCCTTTGCAATAAAAATAAATAAAAAAAAATCTTAAAAAGCACAGATTGAACAAACAAAAGACAAGGAAAAGTCTGGTATTCTGATCTTCAGTACTTTTTTTCTCCTAAGATTCATCTATTTTAGAAAGGGGGAGACAGAGATTTCCACCTGCTGCTTCATCTCCCAGATATGCTCCTATGGGATGCCAGCCTCACATGCAGCCCCTCCTTTATAGTTCTTGATTCATGAGACGCCAAGCTGTCATTTGGCAGTTCAGGAATTACTTTCTTGGGGCTGGCACTTGGAACAGTGGATTAAGCTGCTGCCTGCAAAGTCAGCATCCCATGTGAACAAATGTTATATCAAGTTCCAGCTGCTCCACTTCTTTTTGCATATCTTATTTATTTTTATTTTAAAGGCAGAACAGATTTCCGAGGACGCAGAAAGATCTTCCATCTGCTGGTTTACTCCCCAAATGGCTACAATGTTTGGAGCTGGTGCATCCCGAGCCAGAAGCTTCTTACAAGTCTCCCACATGAGCACAGGGTCCCAAGGCTTTGGACAATCCTCCACTACTTCCTAGGCTATAGGCAGGGAATTGGATGGGAGGTGGAGCAGCTGAGACACAAATTGGCAACCATATGGGATCCCGTCGCGTGCTCGGTGAGGGGATTAGCCATTGAGCCATTGAGCCATTATGCCAGGTCCCACAGGTCCACTTCTGATCCAGCTTGCTACCAGTGGCCTTGGAAAACAGTAGAGGGTGGACTGAGTACTGTGTCTCAGCACACAAGGGGGATCTAGATGAGGCTCCTTGGCTCCTGGCTTTGTCCTGGCCCAGCCCTGGCTGTTGTAGACGCTTGGGGGGTGAATCAGCAGATGCTCTAACTCTGCCTTTCAAATAAATAAATAGTTTTAAAAGGAAGGGAAATTACCTTCTTATTGTTAGTTGCCCAAGTTTCCAGTTGGGAACAGAGGGGAATGTGTTTTTATTGTTTAAGTTCCTGGTCATTCAGAGTTGATCTTATTTCTGTACACTAGCTCTTTATCTAGATTTGTATATGTCTGGATAGTTGTGTTTTCTGAAGAATTTTTTTTTTAATTTCCACATTACTGTACTTTTAATATATACTTTTATCATTTATCTGCACCTTTCCCTGGTAACTAAAAAAGGTTGGATGAAATACAAAGCTAGATGTTAATGCAGCATGAGTTTAATGTGTGTTTTAGTATGCATTTTTGAGATCCACTGTTTGCCCCACATTGAGGATACTGTCAAACTTGGCATCATCAGGGTGCACATGAAAAGATTAGCTGTTGCCGGTTCGTGGAGGAACAACATTGCCTTGTAGTAGTGAAGTAGTTATGAATGAGTGTGTATTATAGTTCTTCAGAGTCATAGAAAAATGAAAGATGCACACACACACAGACACTATAAGGAATTGTGAAGGCTGAGACCCCATGAGCTGCAGTTGATCAGCTGGAGAAGGAGGAGAACCTGAGCTAAATCGCACAGTCAGGCAGTAAGAGCATTTTCGCCTTACTTTGGCCGTTGTGTTCTCTTTTAGGTCCTCCTGGGTTGGCGGAGGGTCATTGCACTAGGGAGGCAGTTTGCTTTAGCCAGCTACCAGTTTGATCTCATTCAGAAACACAGTCACTGACATACCTAGAATAATGCTTAACCCGATATCTAGGCATCCTTAGTCTAGTCAAGGTGACGCACACAATTAACCATCACAGAATCAGAATGTCATGGAATATTATAGGTGGCTGTAACTACATCACAGAATGTAAGTTGCTCAGTATCTCCCTAATTGTAAACAAAATGAACACAAAACCTAGTTCTAAAAACAACTTGCATTTCTTCCTTTAAAAAAAGATTCATTTTTTTTTTTATTTGAAAGATAGATTTTACAGAAAGAGAAGGAGAGATAAAGTCTTCCATCTGCTGGTTTACTCCCCAAGTGGCTGCACAGCCAGAGCTAAGATGGTCTGAAACCAGAAGTTACAAGCCTCCTCCGGGTCTCCCACATGGGGTGCAGGGTCCCAAGGACTTGGACCATCCACTGTTCTTTTCCTAGACCGTAAGCAGGAAGCTGGATTGGAAGTAGAGCAGCCAGGACATGAACTGGTGCCCAGTTCATATGGGATGGCAGCATCACAAGGTGGTGAGTTAGCAAGCTAAACCACTGTGCTGGCCCCAAACAACTCACATTTAAAAGCAAAAAAAGATAAATCAGTATAATCCCCTTTTAGGTTTGGTAGCATACACATAGATACAGTAGAAAGACTATGTGTGTATGTTTGTTTGAAGTTAGACAAATTGAAGATCAGTTGCTTTTCTGCTTTTTATCAGCTGGATTTTGGGAAGATTGCTTGTCTAGGCTGTACTGAATATGATTCGTAAAGTGAAAGAACTTCTCCTTTGTGGTGGTTTTTAGATTAGAGATAATCTGTAGGGAATTTTTGGGGTGTGGTCAGTATTGGAAAGTTGAGCATAAGTGACATCATCTAGGCCATTTTGTCCAAGGCAGTCCTTTGTCCATAAGCAGTGCAACATTTTATCACTCTTACCAGGAAGGAGGGACAGGTCAGTGACACTGTGCAGCATCCTCTGGATGTATAGCTAAGCCCTGGAGACGTATTTATGCAGTTCTCATTCTAGCTTTCTCTTTTCTTTTGACAGAGTTAAATTGGAAGAGAGAGGAGTTGCTGAGAATTCTATAGCAGTCAGCAATGGTGATAGCACTAATTTATTACCTAGAAAAGCAAAGAAGCGGGCATTTAAGTTGGAGGAGGATGAAGAAGCTGACATGGGTAGCAGGTATTCAAAGAAGCATTGGAAAAGTCAAGAGAACAGTAACAATAATGAGAAAGCCTTGGTTCTGCACACAAAAGCTGTCACAGATCAGGCTGTGAGGACAAAAAAGAAGAGAAAGAAGAAAACAACGTGTGTCACAGTGGACAATGAAGAAGACACCAAAAGGAAATCGCCAAAGAAAAAGGAAAAGTGTGAATATAAAAAGCAGACCAAGAGTCCCAAGTCTCTGAGAGTGCAGGTGGCGAAAGAGTGGCGCACCCGGAACTGCAGTCCTCCAAAGAGTCCTGCTAAAAACAGCCTGGTGAAGGCCAGAAGGAAAGGTGGTGCAGGCACTGCTTCCAAAGACATTCCCACTTCCTCCTCGGAGTCAGAGTCCATCCATGAATCCATCAGCGATGGGCTCAGCAATGCCCCCTCGGATGTCAGAAATTCCTCAGAGACAGCAGCCACTGAGTTAGCGAAAGAAGAATCCTCTACCAAAAACGTCCCTGCAACCAAACTGCCTGCCAAAGGTGGCTTTAGTCTCACTCCAAGCCAAGGCAAGGCCACCAGAACATCATCCTCTAGTTCAGACTCCAGTTCGGACTCGGATGACCAGCGTGTGTTGTCTAAGAGCACCTCAGAGGGTGCTGTAGGCTTCTTCAAGACAGCTGGCCTCTTTCCAGCCAAAGTCTGCCCAGGGCCAGGACTGTCCTCGCAGGTGCCAAGTGCTGCCGGATGGAAGTTTTCCGACCTAGGTGGTGGCAGGCAGGCTCCTGGTCCTCCTTCCATCGCCAGTCTCTCCACTGGTCTAGGAAGAGGATGGGGTCGAGGAGAGGACCTTCTTTCTTTGAAGGGAGCCAGGGGTCGGGGCATGCGGGGCCGGGGGCGGGGACGAGGGCATGCTGTGTCAAGCGTTTTAAACAGAAATGCTGACTGTCAGAAGCAGAGGCAGTTGAATGAAATAGTAACAAACTCATCAACTTTTATCCAGGTAAGTATGATGACCTTTCTCCATTCCCATGGACTGTGTTTAGAGTTCATGTTCTGAGTTTGGTTTTTCATCAGTACCCAAGTCACTTGACTAAGAACTGTTTTCCAGAATCCAGTAGAGACACACAAGAAGGATTACAGTCTGTTACCACTCTTAGCAGCTGCCCCGCAGGTTGGAGAAAAGATTGCATTTAAGGTATATTTAATTTTATTTATCCATTTAGTTTTTTTTTGTTGTTGTTGTTGGAGAGACACAGAAAAGAGAGAGTTCCCATCTGCTAATTTACTCCCCAGATGCCTCCAGCATGGCTGGACCAGGCCAGAGCTGGGAACCTGGACCTCAGCCCACGTCTCCGAGCTGGGTGGTGGGAACCCAGTCCCTAAGCTGGCACCACTGGCTCCTGGGGTCTTCGTTGGTAGGAAGTTGGAGTCACGAGCCATAGTCAGGCTTCAGAGCAGGTACTCCGGAAGGGAACATGACTTTTTGAATGGTGTCTTAACTGTTAAGATAAAAAGTCCATTCTTATGGTATGTTTTAAAACAACAAGAGTTACAACAAAAATGGCTAACTGCATTTCCAAATAAACTTGTCGGATCACCTGAAATGGTATTTGTAAGATCCCTTCTCCCTGAACCCCCGACTGTCACAGATTGATAGGTTGTAGGGCCCTCCTGGTTTATTGTGGATGCAGTTACCCTTCATGGGAGGGAAGAGCTATGCAAATGTGCAAGTATAAGTGAGCTTGTGTATCTGTGGCTTTTTAACAGCTTTTGGAATTAACATCCAATTATTCTCCCGATGTCTCTGACTACAAGGTAAGGTTGTTTATTTAAAAATCATTAAGCTGTTAACATATTTAATAAAACTAAAATCATATTTAATGCTACTCATGTGGATAATATAGAATTTTTGAGTAAACTATGTTATAAAATTGAAAAGTAGCAAATGAAAATACTAGAATATAAATTTTGAATAATTAAAACCTTTCTATACTGTTTTCCTTGTCCTTGAAAGGAGTGTGGAATGCGAATTGATGAGCTTTGTTTTTCGTTAAATTTTTTCTAGTCAGTTTGAACACAGAAACTTTTAGAATATCCACTCCCTCACGATCCTAAATTTTAATTTAAAAATAGTAAATAGCTCTCACCCAGAAAATTGGATTATTTTTATCATGGCACCTACTTTATATATTTGTGAATGTCTTTTGGTTCTAATAGTCTAATATGGTCCCTTTTGCATTATCAGTTAACCATGGTGCATTCACAGGTATCATCCTTGAAATTCACTCTTTATCTGTGTGAGACCTGACCCTGACATATGAGCTTTCTCATGATTCAATAAAACCTTGTCTCAATCAGTAGGATTGCTTTTCCTGCTCGCCTCCCCCCCACTACTTTTTTTAAAAAATAATTTTATTTTGAAGAGTTTTATTTTTATTTGAAAGGAAGAGCTACAGAGAGAAAGAGAGACAGAGAGGGATAGTCCATTCACTGATTGACTCCCCAATGGCCACAGTGGTTAAAGCTGAGCCAATCTGAAGCCAGAAGCCAGGAGCTTCTTCTGGATTGGCCACATGGGTCCAGGAGCCCCAGGACTTGAGCCATCTACCAGTGCATTCCTAGATACGTTAGCAGGGAAATAGAGCAGCTGGGACCTGAACTGGCACCCATATGGATGCCAGGGCTACACCACAGCACCAGCCCCATTTGTTTCTCCTTTTTCCAGCCACAAAATTTTGTTAGTCTAATAAAATAAATACATAACTCCTAATGTGTACAGTGTTTATAACAAAATTTTTTACTTTCTTTTCTTGATATGATATATAGGATGATGTCTGTTTTTAATGTGATCATTGGTGATTTAACGCAGCAGTGTAGTTTGATTTCATCTGGATTAGTACCTTGAAACACTTAAAACTCCTGGTAAAAACCTTGCCTCAGAAACAGGCTAGAAGAGTCAGTTAACAAAAAGTCCTGGTAGGTTAGTTCTGGGTAACAAGTATTTTATCTTCTTGTTAGTTCTGGGTAGCAAGTATTACATTTTATCTCCTTAGCCATTTAGTATCTTCTGTGGCTAGGTGAACATATAATTTATCATCAGGGGATTTGTGAGTGAAAAGGGGAACACTATTAAAAATCATGCTGGAGGGAAGGATGTTCTGAAATAGCTTGGGAGACCAGGATGTTTCGTTAGCCTATCATAGATGATTGATTTGATTCTGTGATGTTTGAGGGAGTGACATGGAATATTGAATTGATAGATTTCATAAACTCTAAATTATAATCTTTTGGATTCTGTAGGTCAGTGCCTGCTCTGTGTAATTCAAATGCTTCTGAGAATAATTCTGGTTGTTCTTAATTCACAGTGTTAAGTCAATCTATAATTGTATTTAAAGACTTATTTGTTAGGTTAAGTGACAGAGAGAGAGAGGTCTGCCTACTGTTTCACTTCCCAAATGGCCACAAGTGTCAGGTCTGGGCTAAAGCAAGCCAGGAGCCAGGAACTCCTTCCCAGTCTCCCACATGGGTGCCAAGGGCCCTCATTCTTGCAGTGCTTCCCCAGACACATTTACAGGGAGCTGGGTTTGGAGCAGAGCAGCAAGGCCTGGGACCAGTGTTGCAGTGTGGTGGTGGCTTCACAAGCAGCAGCTTAATGCACTGTGCCACTGAGTTAGTCCTCCATGTTTACTTCCCCTGCTCGTTGATTTACTTCGTTTTTAAAAATTGAGGTAAAATTCATTTAATGAAGAATTTGCCAGTTTAAAGTCTAATTCAGTGATTTTTTTTTTTAGTATATTTACAATGTCATATGTGTTGACTTTTGACTTGGATTTTTATTTTTGAAAGGAAGGAAAAATATTAAGCCACAATCCAGAGACCGAGCAAGTAGACATAGAAATTCTTTCATCCTTACCTGGTGAGTCTTTTAGAAATGAACTTAAAAATTCAGCTTTTGCATACCTCAGTGGTTTTCTAAATGACCAATTGGGAGACGTTGTCTTTATTGTCCTCCACTTGGCTGGCCACCGCAGTGGACTGGCACTGTGTGCACACCCGTGTGAGCCCGCTGCAGCCCCGGGGCTGGTAGTCCTCCTAGCGGCATGTATGCAGGCTGAGAGGTGTGGGATTGTTCTTAAAGCTGTCGGGCAAGTTCTTACGCTTTATAATTACGTACTTTTATAAGAGTTGATATGAATGGAAGAAAACCAATTACAAAATAATTATTTCTTAGGTTGAGTGCTATCTTAGCATTACTTTAAAAATGCTGTTAAATTATGTGTGAGTGAGTCAGCTGTAAGAGATTGGGAGCCATTCTGAAAAAATTTTACAAGATTCTGTACTTAAATTGCCTTGCAAGTTTTGGTGTTCTTGAATACATTAAAAAAAAAAAAGAAGAAGAAGAAGAAATTGCAGGTAGTATATTAAAAGGATATGGGTTAGTTAGTGAACTCCTAAGGCTTAGCTTTATTTCAGAAGTTTGGCAGATGAACATACTTTTGTGTATTAAGTCAAAGCAAAATTCTTATAAATGCTTCCCTGTTTTATCCCTAATTAAGCCACTGTTGGTTCTGAAACCCGGAACAAGAGGGCTTGTGCTAACCCTGAGCTGGGCTGGAGGGTCCCTGACCAGAAAGCAGATGCACCTCTGGATCTTGTTCCTCCCTCCCTCCCTTCTTTCTTTCCTTCCTTCCTTCCTTCCTTCCTTCCCAGACCCTGAAACAACTATTTTTTTAATATTAATTTTTTATTCATTTGAAAAGCGGAGTTAGAGACACAGAGAAAGAGAACATTTTCCATTTCCTGGTTTCCATTCACCCCAAATGGCTGGGGCTGGGCCTGGCCGAAGCCAGGATCCCAGAGCTTCTTGCAGGTTTCCCCTATAGGTGCAGGAGCCCAAGCACTTGTGCCATATTCTGATTTCCTGGGCACATTATCAGGGAGCCGGATGAGAGGTGGAACAGCTGGGGGACCAGCACAGTGGCTCAGTTGACTAGTCCTCAACTGGCAAGCAACAGCATTCCTATGGGTGCTAGTTTGTCTTCTGGCTGCTCCACTTCTCACCCAGCTCCCAGCTTAGGGGTTGGGAAAGCAGTAGAGGATGGCCCAAATCCTTAGAACCCTGCAGCCACATGAGAGACCTGGAGGAAGCTACTGACTCCTTGCTTCAGCTCAGTTCAGCTCCAGCTGTTGCGCCCACTTGAGGAATGAACCAAATGGAGGATCTTGCCCTCTGTCTCTCCTTCTCTTTGTAAATCTGCCTTTCCAATGTGTGTGTGTGTGTGTATAAATATCTTTGAAAAAAAAAAGCTTGAAGAAGTAGCAGCAGGTAGAACTTAAAGCATCATCTATATGGGATGCTGGTACCTCAGGGGGCAGTTTTATCTGCTGTTTCACAATGTAGCAGCCCTGTTTTTTGTCTGTTTTTAATTAAGGTAAGGAATAAGAGATTCAAAATTCTAGTAGATAGAAATGTCACAGGGCCAATATGGTGACCTATCAGGGTTAATTTTCTGCTTGTGGCACCAGCATTCCAAATGGGTACTAATTTGTGGCTTGGCTGCTCTACTTCCAATCCAGCTCCTTGCTTGTGGCCTGGAAAAGCAGCAGAGGATGGCTCAAGTCCTTAGATCCCTGTCCATACATGGGCGCCCCAGAAGAAGCTTCTGGCTCCTGGTTTCAGATTGGCTCAGCTCCGGCCATTGCAGCCCTTTTTGCAGTGAACCAGTGGATGGAAGACCTCTCTTTCTCTCTGTGAATCTGCCTTTCAAATAAAAATAAATAAATCTTCAGGAAAAAAAACAAAGGATAAAGAAATGTAACAAGGTTTTTCAATAGAATTCCTATCTGACCTATACAGTATTAAGCAAATGATAGGACGTAACTTGTTTTTAAAGATTTATTTTATTTATTTGAACAGCAAAGTGGCAGAGGGAGAGGGAAAATGAAATCTTCCAACTGCTGCTTTACTTCCCAAATGACCCCAGTGGCTGGGGATCGGCCAGGCCATAGGCAGCAGCCTGGGTGGAGCTCCATCTGGGTCTCCCACGTGGGGAGCAGGAGTCCCTATATTTGGGTCACCGTCTGCTGCTTCCACTGCTTTCCCAGGTGCATTTCACAGGGAGCTGGATCAAAAGTGGAGCAAGTGGCACTTAAACTGGGGCTCTAATAAGGGACACCAGTATTGCAAGCAGCGGATTAATTCACTGCACTGCAACTCTGGCCCATGGATATACTACTGCAGTTTTTAGCCTCTTTCTGGTGAGGCTGCATTTGTAGAGGCCCCTTTCTTGGGAAGGGTAAACAGAGGAAATACCCTTGGTCAGATTCCCCAGCCATAGCCTGTCAGGTGCTGGCTGGTGATGGCAGTCAGAACTTCTCTCCGGGACACCAAGAAGTGGCTTCTTTTGTTCTCTAGTACAAGTACAAGGATTTTAGTTACTGCCCTTTAACACCAGTCTGCCAACACTGCAAGTCCACAGAGTACTGCTGGCTGTTCAGTCCACAGGTCTCTGTAAGTAACACATAACTCGTGACCAATCATATCTCTTTCCAAGTCTGTCAGGGATGGGTCATGGTACATGTGACACTGGGCTTACTTACACAAGCAGCAGAGTTGTACTGCCTCCTTAACTTGGAGTGACAACCCCACACAACAGTTTACAAAAATGGGTCATTACCATAGAGGATTGAGCAGCAAAAATAAAAGCACAGTGAATGAAGAGCAACAAGTGACAAAAAGTGATGATATTGAAGGTGCCATGCAAACGGAATTGTAGCGGCATTATAGAAGAAATGGCTGGTGGAGCGACTTTTGACAGCACTCTTCATGTGAACTGATTGACACGAACAAAGTAGCTGCGAGGAATAGGATGCTCGTGGTTCTGGACATGGCCCTGCCCATCCGAAATTTTCCATGAAGATGTCACAAAATGAAGAGGAAGCACACTTGCATTGCTATGTTATATTACAAGTTCAGAGGATAAAAGTGCTTGGAGCTGATTGAAACTTAGGTGGGTGCAGGGCAGTGGTGCAAGGAAGGCATAGAGAAGACCTCCCAAGTCATCGGACAGGAGGGCAAGCAGCATTCAGACCACTCTTGATGTATTTCTTACAAAGAAATTAAAACACTAAATTTTGATTTCTAATGTTAACATATGTTTGTTTCGGTGAAAGCTTTTGAAGCTCATGAGACCCCCATCCTCTTTCCCCTTGCAGTGATTTTGCATGGCTTTAGCTTGCATGGTCACATTCCACTGGTCTCATACCACTGTGCACATAGGTGCCTGGTGGGGGCAGGGCAGCACTGCACGTCCGCTTCCAAACACAGAAAGGCTGTCTGGGGATTGTCTTGTTCCCCTTTCTATCCTGGGACTGCTGGTGACAATTCCTCAAGCTCGTTTCTTTCGGATCGCCTCTGGCCAAGATGGCGCAGGCTGTTCCATGGTTTCCTGTCCTACAGAGCATCCCTTGCTTTTGTTTTCACACCCAGCTGTCTTACTGACCGCTGTTGTTGTCCTAATGATGTAACGTCCCTGCAGCTTGGGACTCATGAGAGGAGACTTATGTCTTTCCTCCCTGCCTTCTGGTTTCAGCCCTAAAGGAACCTGGGAAATTCGATCTGGTTTATCACAATGAAAATGGCACTGAGGTGGTGGAGTATGCTGTGACGCAGGAAAAGAAGGTGGGTGTGTCTCTCTCAGCTGATTACCTGGATCCTGGGAGTTGGCCTTGCTGTTTCCCAGACTGCCTGTGTTCAAATCATAAAGTATTGAAGTCCCAGGGGAGGAGGCCTCTCCTGTGGGGAGGGCAACAGCAGGTCCAAGTGTCAAATCGAGGCTCCGTCATGGACTCCAGAGAGCCTGTGGAACAGTCGTACCAGCAGGGCTTTGGTGGGCCCATTTCCTATACTCATTTATTTGCAGTATATACAGTCCCACATTTTTGATGAAATGTATTCCTGGAAGCAGTACTGGAAAATTGAATCTTGTAGGCTGCTTATTCCTGTATGAAGCAATCCTGAAGTAGACGCAAACGCCTGTAATCACCTTTTGTGCCGCTAGATGGCGCTCTCTATTCATCCATATGGCCAAGCATCAGGGTTGTTTTGTCCTATGTTGGTGTAATAGTTGCTGTTTTTAGGCAGCTTAGAGTAAGGGATGCTGGACTGCACAAGAGGGCATCAGTGGCCTGTGATGTTGCCAGGGCTACCTCGAGCTTTCAGATTTGGGGCCTCGTGCACTGGACAGATCAGATGTCCTGACCACCTTGGAGCCGGCCCTTACCGCAGCCTCCCACTCCCCTGCTTTTAGATCAAGGAAGATGAACTATGTGTAACATAAGACTTAGTTGCAAATTCTGGGTAAATGAGTTCCTGTACCCTGATTGAATTCAGTTTCCTTAGGACTCAAATGATTCTGGTTCTTGCTGTTAAGTACAAATGGAAATTTACTTGACTGAATTGTTTTAATTACTGAAAACTGTATGATCTGTTTTATGTCTTTCCTCAGATCACTGTTTTTTGGAGAGAGTTAATTGATCCAAGACTGATTATTGAACCTGCAAGTAATACCTTGCGTTAAGGACTCGTCAGAGTACAACTGTTCCAGTCTTAGTTTGTAAATGTCTTGTCTGTGAAAGTGGCTATAACCTGAAATTTTAAAAACAAAAAAAAAATAAGGATTTGAAAGTTGTATGGGTTTTTGTGTTATCTTCACTGCATAGGAAAAAAATCTACCTCATCATCTGAGAAACATGGGTATTGGTTTTGTAGGCTTTCCTTCTTCTCCTCCTCCTCCTTTTCCTCCTTCTTGTTCAGGTTAATTCCAGTTAACAAAATTCAAAACAGGACATTCCATGCAGGCATTGTGGATACCAATGTTTATGACTTTGTATTTTTTGGGCCGTCAACTAGCAACCATCGGTAGGAGTTAGTAATATCAAGTACAAGACAGTGCTGCATATCTTGTCTCAGTAAGTTTTATTCAGTAACATTCTAAAGCACTAAAGCATGTTACCTGACCTAATTTTTAAAAATATTTGAGTTCCATTAAATGTGGAATAACTTATAAATTCCAAGTATACTGTACTTGAAATGGTTGAGAATGAACAGTTAGTTAAGGACAATGTGTTAAAGAATCCTTCCACACCTTTCCCAGTACTAAAGTGAAGGATTCTCTAGCCCCTGTGTAGGGCCACAAAGCCAAGACCTCTTGCTCATGCCTGGAGAACAGGCTGTGCTTGTGAGAGAGCATGCGCCATCAGCTACAGGGCAGGCGGCAGGCTCTCACACAGCAAGAGGCCGAGCCTCTGGCTCCCGTGCTGCAGCAAGCACCAGACAAAGAAACATCCTTTTCTGTTACTATTCAACACAGAGCTTAAAAAGGCTGAATATATGCTGTAAAAATCGCTTTCTTCTATCAAAAGATCATATCCCTCCTTCAGCTTTGCAAATTTTTAAATAAAATCATCTCAAACTGAAAGTCCATGCCGGGTCCTCTTGTTGAGCTAAGCGTGGCAGGTCATGCTGCTGGTCTGCAGTCGCAGGAATGGCAGGGTTTGCTTTGACGAAGGATCTGGCGTTATCACAGTTGGGCCACTGTGGAATTCTCCAGATCCAGGAGCTGTGTGACCAGGGAAGGTGCCATTGTGGGTTAATTTGCTTGCACCGCTTGTGTGTGTATTACAGTTGGCTTTGTGTATTTGGGTGGAAAGGGCACCCCAGGAGGAGAAAGATTCGCGTAAGTGGTCTTGAATTTCGAACCATATTCAGTGTATTCAGCTTTGCTCTGTAGGACTTAACATTCCATTTACATGGAGCCACATGTCTTCTGGATCACCACAAGGTGCAGATGTATTTCTCACTGCTTGAGATTGAGAGGCTCAGGGTTGTATTCTATTTGGATTGGGAAACCAAGTAATATCACTTATCAGTGTTGAATGAGAAGAGGAGAGAGGAAGGTGAGGGTTTCGCATGAGAAGTACTATTGGGGATTGACGTTTGGCCTTGCAGTTAATATGTTGGTTAAAATACCTGTATCACGGGGCTGGTACTGTTGTGTTGTAGGTAAAGCCACTGCCTGCAGTATCTATCCATGTGGACACCAGTTCAAGTAACAACAGCTCCACTTCTGATCCAGCTCCTTGCTGATGTGCCTTGGAAAGCAGCAGAGGATGGCCCAAGTGCTTGGGCCCCTGCACTCATGTGGGAGACCTGGAGGAAGCTCCCAGTTCCTGGCTCTTGACTTCAGCTCTGGCCATTGCAGTCATTTGGGGAGTGAATCAGCAGATAGAATCTCTACCTGTGTGTGCAACTCTGCCCTTCAGATAAATAAATAGGTCTTTAAAAAAAGCAAACTTGTACCACACATGAGACTCTGGAGCAGCTCTGGCTCCTGGCTGTAGGCTGCTTCTGACACAGACGCTGAGGGAGTGGTGATGGCTCAGGTCATTGAGACCTGGATTACATTCCTGGCTTTCAGCTTTAACCTGATCAGACCTAGCCATTGTGAGTATTTGGGGAGTGAACCAGCCGATGGGCACAGCAGCTGGCTGGCTGGCTCTCTGCGTCTCAAAGAAGTCCGTGCCAGGGACCTTGCTTCATGGCTCCTGAGCTGTGGTCCAGATGCTGGCTTCCAGATGAGGAAAACAGGAAGTACTCGTATGTCAGCTCCTGTACCTAGAGGGCTGACCCATGGCTTTAGAGCAGTGACTCAGACCACCCGCTCAACCCAGTGCTGAATGACTGCCCAAGAGCTCCCAGGAGGCAGAGGGAGCACTTGGTGAAGTCACAGAGCAGCTCTCTGTGTCCCCAGGGTGCTTTGGTGACCATGCTGTCCTGAGATAGCTCTGTCCTGGACGTGAGTGGGAGCAGCCGTAGAGCACCTGCCTCAAATGCCCACCTCTCGCCTTGGGAGCTAGAATTTGTGACTTGGCCTCTACCACCCCCTGTGACTCAACTTTTTGTCCATATTTTGATTTTTAAGATGTTATTTATTTGAAAGAGTTGAGAGAAAGAGGGAGACAGATCTTCCATCTGTTGGTTCATTCCCCAGATGGCCACAGTGGCCAACGCTGGACCAGGCTGAAGCCAGTAGTTTCAGTTTGGCTTCCTAAAGGACTGCCAGAGCCCAAGCCCTCGAGCCACTTTCTGCTGCTTTTCCTAGAGAACTGGATTACTCCATGAATGCACAGCTGGTTTGATATTCAGTGTACATCATTTGTCACATTATCCATACATAGAAGAAACAGGATCACTGTTGCTTAGAAGATGACTTGATCAAGTTTAAGAGTGCCTCAGGTAAAGCATGATCATAAGGTTATGGAAAAGGTAACAACTTCACACTTAGGTTCAAGAACACGTCTGGTAATTTCCTCTTGGGAGGTGGACACCACAGGGCTTTCCACTGAGTGCATGTCAAAATCAGGAGGCCAGCAGCCCAGGGCCTTCCCCATCTGTAGGCGCTCTGCAGTCTTTTCAGGCCATCCTGCAAATAGGAGCAACAACCCACTGCCTCCCTAAGGGTTTTAGGATTGCAAATTGGATGCTGGCACCATGGCCACACTCTGAGCATCAATTCCTTGAGGGTGGCATGAATGGGAGTAATTGACAAATAGTTATATTGGCAGGTGAATTAGGTTTATCAAATCTGCTCTCCCTGTTTAACATTGCCAGCCAGGTGCTAGCTAGCCCAGGCCACATGTTCCCTGGTGACCAACAAGTTCACCTCTGACTTGAGAACATTGTCCTACTGGGGACCCTGATGATGGATACAGCCTATGTCCCCGAGCAGTCCAGGCTCACTGTAAGCCCAGGGCTCACGTGCCTGGGGCCCCGTTGGCACCCAGGTCTGCTGTGCCTGTGCTTCCTTTGTGCCCACAGTGTCTCCACTTGGGAGGCACCACTCGGCTCCACAGGAGAAGGCCAGGCTGTGACTGCATCTTGTTTCCCCCTTCAACACAAAGGCTGCTGTACACAGTGTGTGGCCTTCTGCTAATCTGGGCCCTTCTAACCCTCTCCGCGTGCTGGCCTGAGAACCAGGCCATCTCCCCCACGGTAACTAGTTAGAGCGCATGTCACAGCTTTCACTTTCTGGAAGCTGCTCCAACTCCTTCCTGCTTGCTTCCATGGCTCTTTGTCTTTCTCCTTTGCCTTGGAACAGCAGTAAAACAGAACCACTAAGGGAGCTAGGGTAGCCAGAGCCTGAATGCCAAGGTCAGTAGGCACGTAACAGTTGTAGGTTCCTGCTGCATAAGCAGCTCTGGGTGGTGAGATGACAGGCACACCTGGCCCAGCCCACCTCCAGGACCCTGCATGTGTGGTCAGGACTATGGAATCTGAAACTGGTTTTGTCATTTTTGCTGCCCAACCTGGCTCCAATGTAAACTCCATGCAGCTCCTCCCCAGACTCTGTGACACTGTCCCTTTTGCTCTTGAACACTTCAGCTTCTTGGGCGCATCCCCATTACCTGTACCCAGTTCAGGGAGGTGAGAAACACAGCTGAAATCATAAAAGGAAATGAGTTTAAAGGCAGTTTTGAAGAGAAAGAAAAAAAATCTTAAATTCCAATGATCTATATGTGTGTGTGTGTATGTTTGTTCGGTTTGGTTTCTCCAAATCCCAGAGATGTGATCACAGGTATTTTCAAATGCATCATGCTGTGCTAACAGAATGGGAGATCTTCCTGCCCATGTCTGGAGGTGTGGCCATGGGCTCCAGGCTTCACGGACTGTATGCTGGGAGAGCTGAGTGAGGAAACAGGAAGTATATGTGTTAAAAGGCAGGGTCACTAATGCCAGTGCAATGGCTCAACTGCAAGCCCCAGCATCCCATATGAACATTGGTTCGCATCTGTGCTGCTCCATTTCGCATGCAGCTCCCTGCTTATGGCCTAGGAAAGCAGTGGAGGAGATGGCCCAATGCCTTCGGACTCTGCACCCCACGGAAGGCCTAGAGGAAATTCCTGACTCCTGGCTTTCCATTGGTTCAGCTCTGGCTGTGGTGGTCATTTGGGGAGTGAACCAGCAGATGAAAGATCTTTCTCTGTCCTCTCTCTAAATCTGCCTTCTCAGTAAAAATAATTTTTTTCTTTTTTAAAAAGATTTGTTTATTTTTAATTGAAAGATATACAGAGAAAAGGAGACACAGAGAGGAAGATCTTCTGAGCGATGATTCACTCCCCAAGTGGGCACAACAGCTGGAGTTGAGCTGCTCATAATCCGGGAGCCCAGAGCCTCTTCTGGGTCTCCCATGCGGGTGCAGGGTCCCAAGGCTTTGGGCTGTCCTTGACTGCTTTTCCAGGCCACAAGCAGGGAGCTGGATGGGAAGCAGGGCTGCTGGTGCCCATATGGGATCCTGGTGCGTGCAAGATGAGGACTTTATTTATTTAAGTTTTGTGTTTTGTGTGTTTATTGCATTGCCACCGCTGGCCAGGCTCAGGCCTTGACCGCATACTTGCGCAGCGGGTACAGCCGCTCTTTCCGCTGCTGCCTCTTGGTCTTGAGGTTCTCCTCGTGCTTGTTGAGACGGTGGCGCATGGCGCGTGTCTCCTTGGGCTGCAGGTCCGGGGGCTTGTACTTCTTGCCCTTGTAGAACTTCCTCAGGTTTTCTTTCTGGGTCTGGTTGATGACTGTGAGGACCCGGGTGATGGACTTGCAGACAACGCGGATCTTGGACAGCTTGGACACCACGCCGCCGGTGACCTTGGCGACACGCAGCGGCGACAGCTCCACTTTGAGGTCAGCAGCTCCTCCTTCTTCTTGCCCCGGAGGTCCCGAGCCTTGATCTTGGCCATGACTGTCTCTGCCGCTGCTGCTCCAAGGGAAGGATGAGGATTTTAACCGCTAGGCTATCATGCCTGGTTCTTTCTCTCTCTCTCTCTCTTTTTGTTAAAGCAATGCCATTTGAACAGCTCCCACAGTGTACTTGTTTTTCAACTTTTGTTTACTCAAGAGAGAAATGGATTCCTTAAAGGATTACTTAAATGTTCACAAGGTCTGGGCCTGGAGCAGGCTGGAACCAGGAGTTAGAACTCAATCCAGGTGTCCCACATGGGGTGGCAGGGAACCAAGCACTTCACCCCACCTGCTTTCTTCTAGGGCCTGGGTCATCGAAAGCTGGAGGTGGGAATCTAGAAATACCACCGAGGGAGAAGGTTGTCTGAGTCACTAAATGGCCCCTGTCAGCCTCAAAGACAGAAAGGGGGAAGTCAAGAAGGGAGGATGAGGAAGACAGGAGAGGAATGCCAAGAAAAGAGATTAAAGAAAGGGAGACAGACACAGAAGAGAAAGTAAAGGTTATTCTTAAAACTGGTTGGAAACAGTAAGATCCACGCTGGAGTGTGCACCGCCCGGGGCGTTCTGCACCACCTAGGAGTGCCCCAAGAATACCAGGGAAGCCCAGGCGACGTGCGCCTCCCCACCCCCAGCCTTCTCGCCACCCCTCCCACCAGGGAGCGACCTCGGGCTCCCCGGCCGGTTGGGGTCCGCCCTCTCCCCGCCCCCACGTGACTTCCTGGAAAGGTACCTCCCTCCCCTGCTGAGTTTCTTTTTTCCTCCGGAGCCTCCGAGAGATCACTCAGCTCGCTGGCACCGTCAGGTCGGCAGGAACGCGATGGCGGAGCTCCCACCCTTAAGTGAGGAGCTGTCGTGCTCCATCTGCCTGGAGCTCTTCAATGAGCCGGTTACCACCCCGTGTGGCCACAACTTCTGCGGTGTGTGCCTGGACAAGACGTGGGCCCTCCAGGGCCCGCCGTTCCTGTGTCCACAGTGCCGCACCAGCTTCCAGGTGCGCCCGCAGCTGCACAAGAACACTGTGCTGTCGTCCTTGGTCAAACGGTTAGGGTCCGCGGAGCAGGCCCAGGCACCCCCCGACGGCTGGATGCCACCCGTGCGCCCCAGGGCCCCCAGCGTGGCTGCCCAGGTGGCCTGCGACCACTGCCTCAAGGAGCTCGCTGTGAAGACTTGCTTCGTGTGCACGGCCTCGTTCTGCCAGGAGCACCTGCGGCCGCACCTCGACAGCCCCGCTTTCCTGGATCACCCGCTGCAGCCGCCGGTCCGCGACCTGCAGCGCCGCAAATGTCCCCAGCATAACCGGCTGCGGGACTACTTCTGCCCAGAGCACGGCCAGTGCATCTGCCACGTCTGCGTGATAGAGCACAAGACCTGCTCGCCTGTGCCCCTGAGCCAGGCCTGCGCAGACCTGGAGGTAGCGTGAGAAGCGTCGGCGATGGGGAGCGGGGTGTGCACGGGGCCTTTCTGGGTGGTGCAAGGCATCTCTGTCAGGTCCTGGTGCTCCTGCAGACAGACTTTGCTGGGGCCTGAGATTGGGGGCAGACTGTTCTTCCTGGTGACGCAGTCCCCACCTGCCCAACCATCTCCCAGGTCCTACACATAAACCCTTTATTTTGCAGGATGAACATTGATGGCCTGCTGGAAAGGTTGCTGGCTTTAAACCCAGCCTCCTCCACTGGTGTTCAGGAGTGGTTACCCCTTTTCCCTCATTAGGTTCTGGCAGCACCCGGGAGGCGATTGCTCCAAGTTTCATTTCCTAGTTGAGTCAACTGACGTCAGAGGATGGTTAAGTTAACCTGAACCAAGGCAGTGTGACCAAGCAGATGCTGGGCTGACCCATGGTTTTTCTATTCAGATCTGTGGGATCCAGAGCATGAGATGTCTCTAGAGGCTTAAGAAATCTTGTGGTCTGAGCAGAGGCCTGAGCAGAGAGCTCTGGCAGGGGTGCTGGAGGTCTCTCTCTCTCTCTCTCTCTCTCTCACACACACACACACTCACCCCACACCATAGTCAGCTGGGCTGAACTTTGGCCCTGGTTCCTCTGCTGGGTGGTGAGAAGGAGGAACCAATGCACGGTGGGTGGTGAGGAGGAGGAACCGTGCGAGATCTTCTAAGCCTGAGATGGTTGTAGTTAGTAGACAGGGGAAGCCAGACCCCAGCAGGAGACTGCAAAGGTGTCACCCTACCCCCAGCCCGTTGACTTACACAGGCTCTGCTCCCCACTGTTCTTGGAGCCCACTTGCCTGTCCAGGAGAACAAAAGGGCAAAGACTGGCCTCAGGTTACAAAAGGACACCTGGGCCTGGGGCGGGTCAGCGCGGAGCTGGCAGCTTGTGTGGCGCAGGGGAGAGGTCTGGCTCACTCCTGGCCACAGCCCATGTTTGCTTTCCTGGGTCTGAGCTGGGCTGCTCTGGAGCTGGACTTCAAGGCATGTGATCTGCCTGGGTGCGGGCCCCTACCTTATCTCAGCCCTGTTAAAGGCCACAAAGGGAAAGGCCCTGTGAGACATCATGGGGTCACGGGCTTTCTGGCTTGAGTGAGTTTGGCCCTGGGTGCCTGCTTCCATTCCTTAGATTGTTCATTTCTAGATTCAAGATGAGGGCTGATCACAAATATGATAGGTATGGTAGGAGAGGCGGCCTGCTGCTTAAAGGAAGGAAATGTTTTTTTCCTGGACTTCTGGCATGCCCGGTTTGGATATGTGTCTGTGAATTTCAGTCGCAGCACACTCAATGGCATTGTCCTTGGTTTTAAAGTAGAATTGTGGAAAGCAGGGCAGAGATCTGGGGTGCCCATGGTTGAGGATTTTCCTTCCCATTTCTGGGCCCTGGTGGCTCATCTGAGCAGGGTTGTGTCTGTCTCACTAGCAAGTGATCATGCATGACCAACCCTTGTTTCTGGAGGTGGCCAGGGGCCACACCATTCTCCATGAGCTCAACTCGGGTCAGGAACCAAGCTGTTGGCGCCTGGGTTTCTCCAGATGAGCCTTGGAATTTCAGAGGCTGGCAGTGTAGCTACCTAATTATGCTCCTTTCCTCAATTTTAGCAGCTATAGAAGGGATAGGATGTAGAACATTAGCAGGAATGTGTGGAGTACAAGGTCCTTGCCTTTGCATCAAGAATTCAGGTGTGAGCGAGGGAGCAAGGTTCTGCTTGGGGAGTATCCAAGACACCTGTAACGCCTTCCTCCTTCCCCTCCTGCTGCCGGGTGTAAAGTAGGTACAGTTCTTCCTGAAGTTTTATTGCCAAGTTTTATCAGACTGGGTAGCTGACCTGGTACCTGGCATTGGGGATTCCCACTAGGGTGCTTTCCTTGGGCTTTGCAATGCTGTCAGGCTGGGTAGCCCATTGGTACTGGGCAGAGAGGATCTTGTAGGGTTCCTTCCTTGGGGACAGGAAGCAGGGAGGGAGCATCGTGGTGTGAAATACAAGGCTGCTGGAGTCTGCCCGATTCCTTTCCCCAGCTGCTTTGTTTACCTTGGGTCCCCTCACACAAACTAATGTTTAACTTTGTGCCTGGCCACAGTTCCAGTGCAAGTTGAGTGTGTCCACTGTTCCAATGAATCCTCCTAATAGCCTGTAGGGTGGCAGTGGTTGTATTTATTTTATGGCCATGGAAACAAAGGTTGTGACAGTTGTACAGCTAAAAACTGGAGCCTGAGCTGACATGTTCTGTCTGACCCCAAATCCTTTTCTTTTTAACTTCCATACTGTACGGTTCTCCCAAAGGCTGGAGGATTGCCTTAAAATGTTACACTCCAGGCAAAACTAGGGCTGGCCAAGTATCTGTGGTATAGAGACTGGGATGGCTCCTGGTGCAGGTGGCAGGGTGAGGCTGAACACAAGCTCTCTCTCCTTTGCTTTCCTTGCAGAACAAGCTGCGACATAAGCTATCCATCATGTTCGGTCAGATCAATGGAGCATCGAAAGCTCTGGGTGAAGTGCAAGCCAGAAAACAAAGTGTGCGGGTGAGTGGCCAGGCCGTTTTCCACCAGGTCAAATTTGGGACTTTCAGGCATGGTAGGGGTGGCTCTGACCTTGACCAGGCTGGTGTTGGGTGCACTCACAAAAACATTGGAATTCAACAACAGCAAGCGAAAAACTGTGTCCAGTAGAAACCCTCTGCAAAGGCAAACTGAAAATCACCTACAGGCCCATCCTTGGAAAGAAATCTTCAGAACCGGAACTGGGAGTGGATGGTGTGGTGCATCAGATTAAAACACTGTTTGGAGGCTGGAGACATTTGGCTGAAGAGTTGGGTCCTTCCACACACACAGCAGAGCCAGGTGGAATTCTGGGCTCCCAGTGCCAGCCTGGCCCAGCATTGGCTGCTGTAGGCATTTGGGGAGTGGATGGAAACTCGCTCTCTCTTTCTGTTTGTTCCTTTCTCTGTGTTTTGCCTTTTAAATCCATAAGTATTTAAAAAAAAAAAAAAAAGAGGGGAGGCAAGATGTAGGAATATGAAAAAACAATTTGGTTACAATCTGAAATGGGAGAAAAACAGGAAGGGAGTCATCTAGTGCAGTTGTACCAGGCAGGAAGGGTAAGTTTCCTGGGGATGTTGTAACAAATTGTCACAAACTTGGCACTTACACAAAAGAAATTCATCCTTCCACAGTGCTGGAGGCCTTGGGTTCCAACGCCTGCCTGGGCAGGGTTAGCCTCCCTCCAGGGACAGTCCTTCTTTGCCTCTAGCAGCTCCGCCCTCTCAGGCCAGGCTGGGTGGTGGCTCTGGGGCTCCAGGCTCCAGGGTTCCCCTGTTCTTGGGTTTAGGGACCACCAGCTTAACCCAGGAACATTTCATTTTGGGATCCTCAATTTAGTTACATCCCCAAAGACTTTCCAGAGGGCAAAAGGTGGCGATGGGTGAAATTTGACCCACTACAGGAAGTGTAGAAAAAAAAATTGAAAGGAAAATCATGAAAGAATAAAGTGGAAGTTGAAGTGGTAAATTTGGGATAGTCTTGTTCCTTTAATTAAAGAAAATTAATAAATTGCAATAGCCTTTAAATTGAGAGAAGATTTTATTATTTTTCTAAAGATTTCTTTTTATTAGAAAGTCATATCTACAGAGAGGAGAGACAAAAAGATCTTCCGTCCGCTAGTTCACTCCCTAAGTAGTCGCAATGGCCAGAGCTGAACTGATCCAAATCCAGGAGCCAGGAGCTTCTGGGTCTCCCATGCAGGTGTAGGATCTCAAGACTTTGGGCCGTCCTTGACTGCTTTCCCAGGCCACAAGCAGGGAGCTGGAAGGGAAGTGGAGCAGCTAGGATACGAACCAACACCCATATAGGATCCTAGAGCACAGTAGCAAGGACTTTAGCCACTAGGCTACTACGCTGGGCCCATATATATATATATATTTTTTTTTTAAAGATTTATTTTATTTTTATTAGAAAGGCGGATATACAGAGGAGGAGAGACAGAGAGGAAGATCTTCCGTCTGATGATTCACTTCCAAGCGACCGCAACGGCTGGAGCTGAGCCAATCCGAAGCCAGGAGCCTCTTCTGGGCCTCCGAAGCAGGTGCAGGGTCCCAAGCATTGGGCCGTCCTCGGCTGCTTTCTCAGGCCACAGGCAGGGAGCTGAATGGCAAGTGGGGCTGCCGGGATAAGAACCAGGGCCCATATGGGATCCCGGGCATGCAAGGCAAGAACCTTAACCACTGCGCCATCGCGCCGGGCCCCTAAATGTATTTATTTCTGAGAGAGAGATCTTCCATCAGCTGATTCGTTCTCCCAATAGCTACAGCAGCTGGAGCTGGGTCAGGCTGAAAGCAGGAGCAGAGAAATTCATGAGCCTTTTCCCCAGGAGAGTACGGGTCTAAGCACTTGGGTCGTCTTCCACTGCTTTCCCAAGTTCTCTTAGCAGAGCTTTGGCCAAAGCTGAGAGCTGGACACGCCATCTAGGTCTCGTATATTATGGGTGGCAAGAACCAAATTACTTGAGCCAATATACTACCTCCAAGGCATTGGCAGGAAGCTGGAGTTAGAAGCTGAAGCTCGGAATTGAACTCATACGTTCTGGTGTTGGATGTGGGCATCCTGACTGCTGTTTGAACTGCTGGGTTGAACATTCAGCCCATCCATGCATTCTTTTTTTAAAAATATTTATTTACTTTGATTGGAAAGTCAGATATACGGAGAGGAGAGACAGAGAAGAAGATCCTCTATCTGCTGGTTCACTCCCCAAGCAGCAGTAATGGCTGGAGCTGAGCCAATCCGAAGCCAGGAACCAAAAAGTTCTTCCAGGTCTCCCACACAGGTGCAGGATCCCAGGGCTTGGGCCGTCCTCCACTGCTTTCCCAGCTCACAAGCAAGGAGCTGGATGGGAAGTGGAGCAGCCAAAATTAGAACCTGCATCCATATGGGATCCTGGCATGTGCAAGGCAAGGACTTTAGCTGCTGGGCTACCACGCCAGGCCCCCATCCATGCATTCTTTATGTCTTATTAAATACATATGCATTCTGTAGCAATAGAGTCTACTATTCTATTTGTTTCTAAGCTTTACATACAGAGCCTCTTGTACAAGCCTGTGTTGTCTTCAAGTTATTTTTTTCTGTCCTAGAGATCTGCCCCCCCCCCCCGCGTATAACTCCAATTTGCTCATTTTTGTGACTATTTGACTTTCCATCCTATGAATGACACTGCTTCTCAAGTCTTCTGTTGATGGATTTTTCAGGTTGTTCCCAGGTTTCTGCTGTTGTAAGTCAGGTTGCTTCTGAACATTCTTGTGTGTATCTTCGAGGCAGGTGTCTGGGTATTTCCCCAGAGTACAATCCTAGGATTGCTGCTATGAGCCATCTGGCACCAACACCTGCACATTACCCAGACACTGCCGAGTTGCCCTTCCTGGTGGTCATGCTGTTTTGTACTCTTGTGGGGGCCCAAATCAGTTTCTGGTGCTCCACTTCTCTCACCCACCCCAGTGAGGGAGCTGTAACAAGGGTTTCTTTTTGTTTTTTGTTTTTTTCTTATTTCATATTCCTCCTGTTGCCTTGATCCTCTTAGGATACCAGCAACAGGAAGCTGGAGCAGTTGCGACAAGAATACCAGAAAATCAGGGCTCTCATCGACTCCACGGAGGCCAGCTCAATCCGGAAGATCAAGGAAGAGGAGAAACGAGTCAGCAGCAAGTTCGACACCATTTACCAGGTTCTGCTCAAGAAGAAGAGTGAGATCGAGGCCCAGAAGGAGAAGGTCGAAGAGGGCCTCAATGAGGGGGATGAGTTTGAATTTCTGGAGGTGGGTAGTGAAGCCTGGCATCGCCAGATCTGGTAGTGGGGTGCCAGGGCCTCATGGAGTGGGATTGGAAGAGGTCCCGGAAGAATGCCCTGACACATGGTCTGTGTTAGTGTCCTGTGTTGTGAAACAGCTTCCTGCAGATCCCAGGGCTTAGAAGAGCGGCCAGCAGCCCCCTGGCCCAGGGGCATGGGTGTGGCTTCATCTGGGTAGGGTCTCAGGAGGCGGTAATCCCGGTTTTGGCCACGCTGTGTTCCTTCTGAAACTCGGCCATCTTCCAGTTCACCTAGCTTTTGTAGGCAGAGTTGATTTCCTTAGGATTGAAGGATTGAGGCCCTTTTCCTTGCTGGCAGCCAGCTGGGACCTCTGTCGGCTTGCTGACTTTCTTCTTCAAAGGCAGCAAGAGAACTTCCCCTCAAGAAAGGCCTGGTGCCCCTGGCAAGGGACTTTCTTTTACCTGACTAAACCTGCTGCACCTGAGACAGTCACCCAAAAGGATCACCACCAAATCAACTGATTCAGGATTTCTTTTTTAAGATTTTATTTATTTTTATTGGAAAGTCAGATATACAGAGAGGAAGAGAGATGGAGAGGAAGATCTTCTGTCTGATGATTCACACCCCAAGTGGCCGTAATGGCCAGAGCTACGCCAGTCCGAAGCCAGGAGCCCAGAGCCTCTTCCAGGTCTCCCACACGGGTGCAGGGTTCCAAGGCTTTGGGCTGTCCTTGACTGCTTTCCCAGGCCACGAGCAGAGAGCTGGATGGGAAGCAGGGCCACCAGGATTAGAACTGGCACCCTACGGGATCCTGGTGCATATAAGGCGAGGACTTTTAGCCGCTAGGCTTTCGTGCCAGGTCCTAGGACTTATTTATTTATTTATTAAGATTTATTTATTTAAAAAGCGGAGTAACAGAATAATACACACATATACATAGAGATCTTCCATCTGCTGGTTCACTCCCAAAATGGCTACAACAGCCAGAGCAAAGGCAGGAGCAGGAAGTCCATCCAGGTCTCCCACACACTCAGGCCATCCTCTGCTGCCCATTTCTATACTGTGTGAAAGCTGGATTAGAAGCAGAGCATCCAGGACCTTAACCAGTACTCCCAATATGGGATGCTATGTCACGGTCACAGTTCTGGTGGGGCATGCCTTCCTCTTTCCTTAAAACAGAACTTAAGGGGCGTGGAGTCTTGCCACATTCCCCATCCATCCGGCACTCAAAGTTTGCGGTTGTATGGGGCGTGTCCCCCACAGGGGTAGGCATTGTTGGGGCCATCTTAGATCTTGCCTTTTTCATACCCTTATCCTCTTGCTCCAAGCCTTCCTCTTCACTGTCCCCACACCCCTATCTTTCCCTGATTAACCAGATGGTTAAACTAGGGTGTTAACCTCGAGGTGACTTCTGACCACCTGGAGGTCGCACTTTGGGCACAGGGAGGTTCCTCTTGGGGCTCATAGGGGTTTATGAGGACTGAGCTGATTGCCTGGCCTCCCTGGAGTTGTCTGCAGTAATCCCCTGGCTTCTTTCAGAAAGCATGGAAGTTGCAAGCAATCTCAACCAAGTCGGTGTACATCCCCAAGGTGGAGCTGAATCACAACCTGATCAAGTATGTCCACCAGGGCACCGTGGACCTTCAGAATGTGCTGAAGGAGTCCATCAAGCATTTCGAGAAGAAGACCAAAGACCTCCAGGGCCCAGGTAAGCCTCAGCAGCTTCCGCTGACCCCTGTGCAACCTGGAAAAGATGGGGCTCCTCGGGGTTTCTGCGTAGGAGGTGGACGTGATCCAGAGCTTGACTCCTAGGGGTCGCCATCCATTTGCCAGGTAGTAGGGAGTCTTTGTTTTACCTTGACTTTGTACTGTCCTTTGTAGTCTACATAGTAGCTTAACATAATCATAGGACGTCCCGGACATCTCTCTCAGGCCCTGAAGGCAGCCTGCATAGGTTTAAATCGCCTCAGGGTTGTCACTGTGTGTGGTGGGGGGCCGGGTTGATGAGGTGGGAATAAAAAAAAATGCCTGGGATTCATCGTCAGCCCAGTCTGTTCCCCATACCTCCCCATCCCCAGATTTCACCTCCTTCATCTTCTCCCGGCCTTGTCCACTGGTCCCAGGGTCAGCCACCACTCGGCTGCTCTCTGGCCATCACCTGTGCCTTATGACTGTGGCAGCTTCCTGATCGCTGTGTATCCACTCTGAGGCAAAAGGGAGGGGAGAGTGCAGCTCTGCCCTCCTGGGACCTGCCTCCTTCACGTCTTTCAGAGGCTTCAAACCCTTGACCTTGGCCTACAGAGTAAGCCAGCCTTGTCTGTCTCCTGAGCTCTGAGGAGCCCCCAAAATCTTTTTTTTTTTTCCTTTGAGAATTTACTTATTTTTTTAAATTTTACTTGTTTTTATTATTATAATTTTATGATACAGTTCCATAGGCCCTGGAATTTCCCTTATCCGTTTCCCAATTCCCTCCCCCCTCACTGAGTTCCCCTATAGCATTACGGTAGTATAGTTCTTCATACATTTTTACTTATTTCTTATTGGAAAGTCAGATATACAGAGAGGAGAAGAGACAGAGAGGAAGATCTTCTGTCTGTTGATTCACTCCCCAAGTGGCCACAATGCCTGGAGCTGAGGTGATCTGAAGCCAGGAGTCAGGAGCCTCTTCTGGGTCTCCAACGTGGATGCAGGACCCCAAGGCTTGGGCCCGTCCTTGACTGCCTGTCACCTGTCCAGGCCACCAACAGGGAGTTGGATGGGAAGCAGGGCCTCCAGGATTAGAACCAGCATCCATGTAAGGCAAGGACTTTAAGCACTAGGCTACCACGCCGGCCCCGCCCCCCCAACTCTTTGTATGCATCCACTTCCTCAAACATACCAAGGTTCCTGCCTAGGAACATGTTCTGCCTGTTTCTCAGAAAGCCCCCTTCTCCGCTGTCTTCTCTGTCAAGAGCTCCTCAACCTTCGCAGAGCAGATGAGGCGTCACATGTCTCCACTGGCTTCCCTGCCACCACTGCCACTCCTGACACCTGGTCCTGACCCTTACCATGCTGCCAGGGCCCTCTTCCTCGAACTCCTGCCTGTCTACCCTACTAGCTTGTGGGCCCTGCAGGCAAAGGCCCATGTCCTCTTCCTGTGCAGCACTGTTCCACAGCACCTAAGCAAAGAACCTCATGTGTCACCCAGGACGTAGGCTTGAGTTTCTACTTGCCTGCTCTAGTATCCTTGTAGAAGTGGCTTCTGAAGCAAGTGGTGGTGCTGCTCCACCTGGAGAGTGGTTTGCTGGGGATGAGCTGCTGGTGATTAGCCTGTGGGAGGAACCAGCAGTGCCTGAACTGGCATGCTACCCCAGGCACCTTCATCCCACACAGGGGCCCTTCCCATTGCATGTACAAGGAAACCAAAATTAGAGAGGTCTTGAGGTTACAGGATTGGATGCTGGTGGAGAGAAGGGAACCCCCGACCTGGTCCTTCCCTTACTCTGTGTGTCCCTTGAGGGTGGGATGGACAAGGTCAGCAGAGGGACCATCTGCACCGATCCTCTGCCTGCCTGCCCTGGTGAAGAGCTGTGGCTGAATCCTCCTTCTCTGGCACAGGTGACTCTGGAGACCCTCCCAAGGAAAAATCCCCACACCCTGCGAAGAAGGTGACGACAAGTAAGTATCCCTACCATGTCCCATGGCTTCAGCATGGCCGCACTGGCTTGTGCTCCAGCTCACTCAGATAGGCACACGGGGAGCCTGGTCTTGGCTGGACAGAGTGGAAGGGCATCTTGTTCTGCCTGCCCTGCCCCTGTAGAGGTGCTGTCCCCCTGGGAAGACACATGCTGCTGGGCATTGGGGCAGGAGGGTGGACCTCAGGCTGTCAAATGGGGGCTGTCGTAATCTCGTGCTCCCTGGAGTTTCCACAAGCCTTGGAACATGTCAGATCTCCTTTCTTTCTTTTCTTTTCTTTTTAGGATTTATTTTATTTTTTTGAAAGGCAAAGTAACAAAGGGAGATACAGAGAGCTAGATCTTAGATCTACTGCTTCACTTCCCAAATCAAATGACCACTCTTAGTTAAACGAAGGGGCAGGAACTTGATCCAGGTTTACCAAACACTTGGGCTATCTTCCGCTGTTCCTCCAGGTGCATTAGCAGGGAGCTAATAGAAAGCAGAGCAGCTGTGACCTAAACAACACCCAGAGGGATGCTGGAGTTGCCAGAGGTGGCTTAACCCCTTGCTCTGCAACTACACCTGCCCTATGAGAGGCCTTTATAAGGCATACATGTTGTCTTTTATCGTTGCCCTGAAAGGAGTGAGAAAAGAACCATTGTATCCCAGAACCCTTGGATGGCCAAAGATGAGAGCGCCCCTGTCATGCCTGGTGGAGCTGAGGTGGTCTTCAGCTGACCCCTGGTGGAAAAGTCAGGTGCCAAGAGACATGGTACACACACAGAAGGGAGCCCTGGGCTGAGTGAGGTGACACCAGTGGCCCCTTAGGGTGGAAAGGGCAGTGAAGGCAAAGCTGTCCCATTCCCAGGCCAGCTTCACTGAGCTGCACAGAGCACAAACAAGCTGAGCCTGGGACCCCATTCCTGCCTCCGCAGGGTGAGCCACTTGCTAAAGACTGGGCCCTGACAGTTTACAGAAGGGCTCTTTTGTGTTCAAAGTGGCTCAGAGTAAACCAGCCGGCATGAGCAAACAGGTGACACGGTCCTGGTGCAGTGTCTGTACAGGGGCTGGACCTAGGCCAGCTTTGCTGCCTGGAGTCCTCCCATGTTCTGGGAGTAGGTAGGGAAGAGGCAGAGGGAAGGAATAAGGGCCAAAGTCCAACCCCCTGAGTGAGACAACACAGAAGGAAGGCATGAGAAGCAGGGCTTGGCTGTCCAGTCCAGTGTCCTGTGGGCCCAGGAAATGAGATCCCAGATGACTCACTCCATTCCCGTGACAGGAAAGCTGGACCTCCCTGCTGCTTGAGTGTGCCACGGCTCCCGCAGGGCTTACAGCCACCAGCCTTGGGCCTCACCCCAGGCCATGTGACTCAGTGGGACTGCCTGGGTCCCAGGGTCTGCATTTTCTTAAGGTTCTTGGGGAGGTACAGCAGCTGCTCCTGGTTTGGTGTCCACTCACATAGAACAACCATTGGGGCCAAACTCAATTTCATGCGCAAACGCACTCCAGAAATTTTTTCTCAAAACAGTGGTGATATTTGGCAAACAACTGTTGTATTGACTCCCCATTTGTATTTTTGTCTACTTTTTGGGTTTTTTTCTAAAAGGGATGTAACCTACCTGCAATGTTAAACATGCATCTTAAATATAGGGCAAAGTTTGGCAGTTGATGTCTGTGTACCCATTACCCTGAATGAGATCAGGCCTTATGGTCAGGAATTCCTCCTTGCTCCTCCTCAGTCTTTCCCCTGCTACCGCCCCCCTATTCACTAAGCCATGGGTGCTGGCTCCTATGACCACTATACATTCATTGTGGCTGTTTGACCCTTTCATCTCTCATGTTAAAACTACCTAGCTGGGCCCGGTGCCATGGCTTAGTGGCTAAAGTCCTTGCCTTGAACACTCCTGGATCCCATATAGACGCCGGTTCTAATCCTGGCAGCCCCGCTTCCCATCCAGCCCCCTGCTTGTAGCCTGGGAAAGCAGTCAAGGATGGCCCAAAGTCTTGGGACCCTGCACCTGCGTGGGAGACCCAGAAGAGGATCTGGGCTCCTGGCTTTGGATCAGCTCAGCTCCGGCCGTTGCGGTCACTTGGGGAGTGAATCATTAGATGAAAGATTTTTCTGTCTCTGCTCCTCTCTATATATATCTGATTTTGCAATAAAAATAAATAAATCTTTAAAAAAAACTACCTAGCTGTATTAATATGAGTGAGATTCATGCAAAGAATGTTGTTTTTTTAAGTGTCATTGGTTGCGGAGGAACGCAGTGGCATAGCAAGCTAATCCTTTGCCTGCAGGTAGCTGTGTCCTGTATGGATGCCAGTTCATATTCCAGCTGATCCCGCTTCCCACCCAGCTCGCTGCTTATGGCCTGGGAAACAGTGGAAGATGGCCCAAAGCCTTGGGTCCCTGAACCCATGTGGGAGGCCAGGAAGAATCTCCTGGCTTCCAGCTTTGGACTGGCACAGCTCCGACCATTGCAGCCATTGGGGGAGTGAATGAGCAGACGAAATACCTCTCCTTCTCTCTCTAAAAATCTGCCTTTCAAATAAAAATAAAGTGTCATTATGTTGCTAAATCTTAATTCTGGAAACTTTTTCTTTTCAATTGAGAAGAAAATCAATCCTCATAAGTTGTTCATGTCTGCATCTTTTTCTTTCTAAGATTGATTTATTTGAGATACAGCATCGCAGAGAGAGAGAAAGAGGGAGGGAGAGATATAGAGAGATTCCATTCACTGGTTCATTTCCCAAATGGCTGCAGCAGCTGGGGCAAGCTAAAGGTAGGAGCCAGGAATTCCATCTGGGTCTACCAGGTGCATGGCAGGAACTTAAGTATCCAAGCCACCATCTACTGCCTGCTGAGACACTTGAGCAGGAAGCTGGGTTAGAAGCAGAGCAGACTGGACTTGAGCCAGCGCTCTAATGGGGATGCTGGGGCCGCAAGCAGAGGCTTGCTCCCCGACACCATGGTGCTTCCCCGCTTGGCTTTCTTGAGCCTTGCCTTAAGAGGATTTGCGTTTTATGATTCTGTATTGTGAAGCAGGCAGGCCTGAGCGGGGAGGGGAGGGCAGAGAGTCCTGGAGAGACTCCCCAGTATGACCTGGCTGGGTGGGGTGTGTGGGGAGGCATGTGAGCAGCAGCTCTTGATAGTTAGCTGCTGTGTGGCATGCCATGTCACCTCATAGCTCTCCTCCATCATTACCAGCTGCCATCCCTTCCCCAGCCACAAACCGCCCCATCTTCGGAGCCCCAGGACAAGTGGTACATTTGAAACCAACTGGCCCGGAGGGTGAGTTGCTGCCAGCCATGGGCAGTGGGACATACAGCTGGGGTTTGTTCTGAAAGTAACCTTTTGTTTACTCTCCACCTGCAGCCAAAGCCGACCCCATGCAGTTGAGCACATCAGCGGTCAAGGCCAATGTGCTGAAGGCCTTTTTGGAAAAGACCAGAACCGAACTTCTGGCATGTGAGTGGCGTGGGTGACAGACTTGGGGCCATCAGCACCATCTCTCCTGCACAGCTCCACATGCTGCTTGCCTCTGGCTGTGTCTGAGTCCCAGTGAGCTGGGTGGTCACAGGAAGCTGCCCTCCACCTGCCCTCTGCCTCCATCCTTCCTTACCCCTCTTCCTAGGTAGCTTCAAGTCCATGGTCAGTTCTTGCTGTCTCGCCCTTGCTGTCCAGTCTGAACCCAGCAGGCCCCTGAGTCTGAGATCTGCCAAGCAGGAGTGTCCCTGTACTCAGTACCTGCCCCACCACCCACAATAGCCACCACTCCAAAGCTTTCCAGCTACCCCAGCTAACCGTCCTCCTATCTGTGTCCTGTCCTCCCCCCACCCAGTGCTTGGAGGGACTCCTGGGAGCACTGCTTCATCTTCTCTGTCTGTGTCTTACCTGCCTCCTCTCCTCTTCCTAAGGTCTGCACCCTGGGGTCACCCTTCTTGTTCTCCATACCCTCACACTCTTCATTAGGCCTTCACCCATCATCTCTTTGTTGTCCCTTCCGCGGCAGGGCCTATCAGGCCCAACACATTCCAGTCTCCCTCTATCCTCACAGACGCCTCTCCTGCCCCATCATATCTTTCTTAGCTTTAGCTCTACTTGTCACCTCCCTTTGTTCTGGATACCCATTACAAATGCAAATTCTGGTGGTCTAGGCTGCCAAGACCAGAGTCCAGGGGACCAGCATGGAGGGCTACACGCTCAGCTCACTGCCTTGTGGGCCCTTTTGAGGGTGTTTGGGGGGACTTGGCATTTAGTGGGCGGCCCACACTGATGCCTGCTGACATGTCCTGGGAAGCCTTTCCCAGACCACACCCTGGGTCTGCTCTATCACCCTCAGTTTTTTTAGCCCACAGTCAAGTTCTCATCCCTCTGCAGTCTCTGTTCCTGCCCTTGGTCAGTGGCTGACCTCTGCCCAGGGGCCTCGGTGCCTGGGATCTGAGCTGCTGTCTTCCCTGAGCTCCTGGCAGCATTCTTCCTCCTACCGTCACTTCCTCTCTGGAGCCCTGAGCCACCACCCTCCCTCGGGGCTCCCCTGACCCCTGTAGCCACTGCTTTCACAGATTCCTTTGCAAACGTGTCTTCCTCTCTCATTTGGAAGCAGCTAGAGTCCCTTCTTGGATGCCAGGACACACTCCCTCCCACCCCTCCCTGGCCCGCCATCCCTCTTTCCACCGCATTTGTGCCCAGTGCTTGCCCTGCTGCCCCTTCCTTTCACACTCACTGCCACACAGCAGCCACAGCCCATCTTTGTAAAATGTACCTCTGGCTATACCTTTTTCTGTAGCCCCTGAGGTGTTGATGGGGGTCTGTAGGTGCCTTGGCTTCTCAGGATATGGCCTCCCCAGAGTCCCTCACTGTCCCTGCATCCTATGGGAGGCCAGGGCCAGTGCTAGGCTGGAATTGTCGCCTTGTCAATGATACAGAGCCGTGTGTTCTGGGAGCCTCCTCTGCTCCATGGCAAGGCCACGTAAGCGGAGACAGTAAACACTGAGCAGCTCAGGGAACTGCAGAACATTTGCCCTGCCTGAGCATTCTCTCTGGAGGACGCTCATGACTTGCTGGGAAGTACCAAACCCAGCCCACCTGCAGCAGGGGTGGTGAAGATCCAGGCTCCCAAGTTCAGGGGTTCACCCTCTACCTTACTGTCCCCCCACCTCCTTCCCTTTCTCCCAGTTGGTCCTGTGAAGGAAGGGGCTGGTACAGGGAGATACAGTATGGTGACAACACTTGAATTCATTGGAATTGTCAGGAAAGGTGGGGAGGGCAGGCAGGTGTCCCAACCAAAGGCATACTTAGCTCTTTGTGTATTTACAAATCTTGACTTCTTGCTCCCATTGGTTAAGTCCAGGCCAGTCTCACTCTCCCTTCTCTCTGTTGCTCCTCTCCCGCTCCCCTGTCTGTGTTTTCCCACTTCGCAACCTTCCTTAGGCCAGAAACAGGTGTCCATCATCCTGACTCCATGGTGTTGCCCTCACTGTGCCCCATTCTGGGCAAGTGGGTGCAATGGGTAGACACAAGTGGGTGAAATGAAAGGAGGGTTGAGTAGATGAATGAATGATGGATGGATGGACAAGTAGACGAACGAACAGATGGGTGGGTGGACTGGTGATAATCAGTGAATAAACAGGCCATGTCAGGGCAAGGTCTCAAACTGAGAGCTCTTGGGGCCCCTTGTGATTAAATCCTTGGCTGGTGTCTCCTCAGATTCTTCTAAAGTCATCTTGGACTACAACACTGCCCACAACAAGGTGGCTCTGTCTGAGAAGTACACCATGGCCTCTGTGGCTGAGGAACCTCAGAACTACCAGCCACACCCCCACAGGTTCACATACTGCTCTCAGGTGCTGGGTCTGCACTGCTACAAGAGCGGGGTCCACTACTGGGAAGTGAAGCTACAGAAGAACGACTTCTGTGGGGTGGGTATCTGCTATGGCAGCATGCAACGCCAGGGCCCCGAGAGCCGTCTTGGTCGCAATAGTGCTTCCTGGTGCGTGGAGTGGTTCAACACCAAGATCTCAGCCTGGCACGATAAGGTGGAGAAAACCTTACCTGTCACCAAGGCCACACAGGTTGGTGTGCTTCTGAACTGTGACCACGGCTTTGTCATCTTCTTTGCCATTGCTGATAAGGTCCACCTGTTATATAAGTTCAAGGCCGACTTCACCGAAGCTGTGTACCCAGCTTTCTGGGTGTTCTCCACTGGAGCCGTGCTCTCCATCTGCTTCTAGTGGGAAGCCTGTGGACACTCGGGCTGAGTGCCCATAGAATGTCCAAGACTGTAATGAAAATGCCGTATGGGGAATGCTCCTGGGAGAACTTCCTGGAGAGTCCCCCATGGTTAGAAGGGTTGAAGGAGTTGGATGGGTGGGTGGGTGGGGACCTGAAATGGGGAGGGACTTGGCCAGGGAAAGAGGTGGGGGTCCCTGTGTTGTGGAGTGAGGAGGAGAAGGCATCACTTCTTCCTGTGCCACTTGGGGCAAGGTGACCTCTTCTCTGCTGTGCCAGGCCAAGCTTTGGGTAGGAGTCATTGAGTACCTCTTTTTTCTAAGAAGTCTGTGGCCATTGCAGGTTCTTTCCCAGGCTCTTGGTATATGGCCCTTTGGTTTCTGGGTAGGGTTCAGATTTTGGAGTTTGAATGTCATTGCATCAGAATGTTCCCAGGCCAGTTACCCGTGAAGTGTGTCCTTTTCCTTTACTGGAAATTAGCCCTACTACCCTGCCTATCCTGTTTCCCCATGACCTCATGGATGATGTCCAGTGGTCTTCATACCAAGATCTGAATCAGGCCTGTCCTGATTTTGTAATTCAAGGTCCAGATAGCCCAGGTCCAGTTTGGACAGAAACCCCTCCTGCTTCCAAATGTTACAGGCAGCATCTTGCACAAGTTCTTTGGCTGCTGCCATGGAGCTGCGTCCAAGCCTTGCTTCCTGTAGCCAAGGGTGAGGGAATTTGCCTGCTCAGTGTGATCCTGGTCTGGGTCAGCACAAGAGTGGTGGCTTTGCTCTGGGAGCAGTGTCTTGTCTTCTGACACTCTCCTAGGCAACAGCACCCCCTCTGCAGGACTGTAAGCCGTTGGGCTGACTGGCATGGATCCCACGTTGGCTGGCACCCAGCCACCTCAGATAACTGGAGGCTGCTGCTGTGTTGACACAGCAGGGACCATACTAAAATAACTTTTGGGGTGACTGCTGAAGGCCCAAAGGGCCTTACTCCAGACCCCATGGGAAACAGTAAACATTTCTTCCCACCCAGCACTGGCCTTTGTGTGGGTCAGAGGCCTGTTGGCAGCTCTGACCCTTCTGTCTTCCTCTTTGGAGCCAATTCCAGAGGCTCACTTTGAGCAGGCTAATGTCAGAAAGACAAGGACCAGGGAAGGAATGAGCTAATGAGGGGCAGACTGATGGCTGTGTATTCTGCAGTTTCTGTACAATGAAAATAACCCAATCCATTAAGGAGTAGGAATGAATGGATTGCTGGAATTTTCCCAAGCTCCTTATAGCTTGACATTGTCAGGACCCAAATTCCCATCCTGTGATGTGAGTCCAATTCTGGGTTTTCCTAAGAGGAGATCACTGGTCAAGCTTCTTAGGCTATGAAAATAGGTCACCATTGGGGAAGAAGACATCCCAGACCTTTTCTTGTGGATATTTGAGAATCTGGTGCACTTCGGGCCTTGTGCTGGAATCCCAGGGTGCAGAGTGCGTGGTATTCCTGACAGGTGCCTGATCTGTGTCATCTTCTCACAAGGACTGTGAGTTCCTTGGGAGAGCAACTCTTTGTAGGGAAGACATCCTTACGGTGTCTGATATGCAGTCCTAAAAGTTTTTTCTTCCATTGCTTCTTGGAAGAAAAGATATTTGATGACCTTGTCTATACTGGGAGAGGGTCAAGGTGGTCTTTATGGATGTCCTGAAACAAGCCTCGCCTGAAGCCCATTCGTACTTGGGTAGCAGCTGGGCTTCCAGGAGCCAAAGTTCTGATCCCTGCTGTGGCTCCCTTACGTGTCAGTGGAGGCCACAGGGGTGCCTCGTCCTCCCTGGCCAGCGGTGCCACTGAGACAAGGGAAGCACGGGTTCCCTTTGTGAGAGGCAGTTAATCAAAGCTGAGGTCTGTGCAAGGTACTTTGGAACTGTAAGTTCAGTCTGCTATGTGGTGAGACCTGGCCTTGCAGGGCCTCCATATAACCCTAGGGTCCTATAGCTGGACTGTGTCCACCTGTCTCATTTCACAGAGTGAGGTGGACGAGGGTGACTGTTCCACTCTGAACAGTTCAGCAGGGAGGAGAAGCTTCCTAGCATGACGGGGTAAAAGTCCTGGTATCAGAAATTTCTGGAAACACAAAATTCTGTTCCAAGACTGGGGGCTGATCCAGTCTGGTGAAGTAGAGCAAAGGGCAGGGTCTGGTCTCTGATTCGAGACAGATTGGCCAAGTCTTCATCTCTGTAACTGTGATAATAGTATGTTATCTTTTACCTTATTTCCCATCACTCTGCTGATTTTAATTAATCAGAAATGTTTGAGCTAATATTTCTTGAGCTTTTTAAATTTAGAGTTGATTTATTTTTCCCGGGGGATGGTCATTGCCAGAGACAGGGTCAAGGGGGCTGATGTGCTAGAGTCAAATGCAGCCAGTGGTGGGTGCCATTCTCTCTGGTCACTGCCTCATGAGCCCCTTTGGTCATACCCTGGCTTAGAAAACCCCAGCCCTATGTGATGAGAAGTTGTGAGAGGTTGGGATTCTGCTCCTCTCCCACCTCCAGGCAGGGACCCCAGGAGGGAGGGAGGGGACCGGGGGCCAAGCTCAACCATGTGGTGTGCAGCATAGTCAGCCCTGCCTGCAACAATGCACTGCCAGGGCCTGGCGCGATGACGCAGTGGTTAAGGTCCTCGCCTTGCACTCCCAGGATCCCATATGGGCGCAGGTTCTAATCCCAGCAGCCCCACTTCCCATCCAGCTCCCTGCCTGCGGCCCGGGAAGGCAGTCGAGCACGGCCCAAAGCTTTGGGACCCTGCACCCGTGCGGGAGACCTGGAAGAGGCTCCTGGTTTCGGATCAGCATAGCATCGGCCGTTGCGCTCACTTGGGGAGTGAATCATCGGACGGAAGAGCTTCCTTTCTGTCTCTCCTCTCTGTATATCCGCCTTTCCAATAAAAAAAAAAAAAATAAATCTTTAAAAAAAAATGCACTGCCAATGACACCTGGGGACATGGGGCCTCTGTGACACCTCCTGTTGTGAGTGTGCAGGGATCCCGGTAGGGGAGAACATTGAAGCCCTGTGTTCCAGACCTTCATGTCCTTGGTAATAAAACCAGCATTGTGAGTGCAACGCGGCCCTGTGTCCTGTGATTCCTGGGAACTGGCAGCTGACAGAGGGCATGGGGCCTCTTGGGCTTGCAGAAGGGGGCCAGTGGCCTGGGCCACCAAATCAGGACTGATGTCAATGAGGGTGGTCATGACGGGGACTGCTTTAGCCAGTAGCAACTGACCTTGCTGTGGAGAGTGAGTGATTCATCAGTTGGTGCCACAGCAGAGGTGGTGGGGCATGGCATGCTGCTCTGAATGGGAGCATCACACGCACGAGTTCTCTCCTGTGGGAAGCCTCCAGTGTTCAGCCTCTAGGCCCCACCTCCTTTTGGTAGCAGTTTGTTTCTTGCTGTCACTGTGCCAGGCAGAAAGAACTGAGAGACAGGAGGGCAGGAGACCCTCCTCCAGAAACTAAGGTTCTTGCTCTTTGCCTGAGCCACCCAACACCGCTCACCTGCATGACTTGTGGTTAGAGCACCCTGACGAAGTGGAATAGCCAAGCCAGAACAGCCTCGTGTGTAGCCGCATGTGCAGAGAATCCAGGGACAGATATCAATCATGGGAGTCACAATCATATCACCAGTCAACCTCCCTCATACTTCAGGAGGGAAAACACCAAACCAGGGGGAAAGGGTTATTTGCTTTGACACTTTGTCCCCTCTCTAGGAATGTGCATAAATAACCCTTCTACTATCCCTACTTAAAAAAAAAAAGACTTACTGATTTTTATTGCAAAGTCAGATATACAGAGAGGAGAAGAAACAGGAAGGAAGATCTGTCTGATGACTAACTCCCCAAGTGACCACAGTGGCCAGTGTTGTACCAATCCAAAGCCAGGAGCCAGGAACTTCCTCCAAGTCTCCCACATGGGTGCAAGATCCCAAGGCCTTGGGCCATCCCTGCCTGGATTAGAACTGGCAGCCATATGGGATCCCAACACGCTCAAGGCAAGGACTTTAGCCACTAGGCCACCGCACAGGACCCTACTATTCCTACTTTTGTCTCTGAACTATAGTCCAGTGAAAAGAAATCGGAAAGCTGGCTACCAGTTGAACACTAGTCCCTCCATTCACAGATGTTCCTTCAGTCATCACGGGACGCTTATTCCAACAAAAAGTTCAAGATGGTCCCCTTATGACTTAAGAAAGAAAAAGCAATCCAGGTGTGTGCATGAGTGCATATAGGTGTGTGTGGCAGGAGGGGACGAGGGGGCAGACAGGGCAGGGGCTGAATTTTAAGTCTCCGCATCTGTAGGAAGCATCCACTCTTCCTAGAAAGTCTTGAGACATTGTAGGAATGGGTAGCTGACCATTTTTGACTTTGGACTGACTGCCTACCTGCATTTCATCACGGACAATCCCACTGTTAAAATATAGGAAGGCTCTAGAGAAAGGTCTGAGAATGACCAGGGAAAGATCCAATGTAAAGGCTCTTCAAGGCCCGGTGTGATGGCTCAGTGGCTAAATTCTTGCCTTATAAGGACCAGGATCCCATATGGGTTCCCGTTTGTGTCCCAGCTGCTCCACTTCCCATCTAGCTCCCTTCTTGTGGCCTGGGAGTACAGTTTAGGATGGCCCAAAGCCTTGGGACCCTGCACCCACGTGGGAGTCCTGGAAAAAGCAGTGCAAAATTTTTTTCTGTGCTGTCTGCTGTCAATTAACCTGACAAGTGGGTGCAAACCATCAACTGGCTGCACCCTATCACAAAAGGGTATCTAAAGAGACTGGGGCCTGAATGGAATTTAGTATCTGCTTTCAAGGCCCTGTTTGGGGGTTCATTTCCAGAATGAACGCAGCAAAGAATGAAACAAGAGTCCCTCTTCTGAGGCACCTGTGTGTTGACCTCGACACCTAGAAGAATGCTGAGCTCTGTATGCCTGTTGGCAGAACGGCACAACGTCCTCACCGCTCAGCCTCCAATCTCCTGTCCACAAAGGTCTGAGCCTCCTCGTTGTTGAGCCACTGCCTCCAGACAGCTCCAGCTCCGGAGACACAGCAAGCTGGGTCCTCCACCTAGTATAGCAAGACTGTCCCCCTGGTTCCTACAAGCCACACATTTCCCTCAGCTCAGACCAGATGGCCGGCTAGATTCGTCTTGCCTTGTTTTTTGCTCATTTCTACATTAAAAAAAAATTTCTTACAAACTATGGGAATGTCAGAAGTTGCTGGGATCTGCCTAAAGCAGAAACTGCTTCAACTTCAAGCAAGACCTGTGCAACCTCGAAACTCAGCTTTGGAACCCAGTGAACTTGGATTTGAGAGTTGAGTCCTTCGTCAGCTGTTGGCCTCTGGGGAGCTGCTGAGCCTGCGTCTCCCGTTGTTGTAGGGAGGTACTGAGACCACAGGGAACTCGGAAGGGATGGTCAAAAAATGTTCGTTTCTCTCCTGGGCTTTTCTCTGGACTCCTTGGCCTTTCAATTTGTCTCCAGCGGAGCAGATTCCCACATGTATTAAGCTCAGCCATAGGCAGGCGCAAGAGCAGGCACTCTCCCATGCATCATCTTGTGTGATCTTCACAGCAAAAGGACCCAAGGACTGGCTATGAAGATCACCGACACATTTAACTGGTATTGACTTGTCTAACTTTGTTAGAGAATAGGACATTTTTTTAAAAAGATTTATTTATTTTTATTGGAAAGTCAGGTATACAGAGAGGAGGAGAGACAGAGAGGAAGATCTTCCGTCCGATGGTTTATTCCTCAAGTGGCCACATGGCTGGAACTGAGCCAATCGGAAGCCAGGAGCTTCTTCTGGGTCTCCCACGTGCATTCAGGGTCCCAAGGCTCAGCTGCTTTCCCAGGCCACAAGCAGGGAGCTGGATGGGAAACTGGGCTGCTGGGGTTAGAACCAGCGGCCATATGGGATCCTGTTGTGTTCAAGGCAAGGACTTTAACAGCTATGCTATCACGCTGGGCCCAAGAACAGGACATTTTGCCTACATTTTTCAGATAGTTTGCTGACTTCTTTTGCACCACTTATAGTTTCAGAAAGTTATTTATTTATTTTTAAAGATTTATTCATTTTTATTGAAAAGGCACATAGACAGAGAGAAAGATCTTCTGTCTGCTGGTTCACTCCTCAAGTGGCCAGAACATTCGAGTTGAGCCAATCTGAAGCCGGGGGCTTCTTCTAGGTCTCCCATGTGGTGCAGGGTCCCAAGGCTTTGAGATGTCCTCTACTGCTTTTCTAGGCCACAAGCAGGGGGCTGGAAGGGAAGTGGAACAGCTGGGACACCAACCAGCACCCATATTGGGATCCTGGTGCATGCAAGGCAAGGACTTCAGCCACTAGGCTTCTGTGCCAGGCCCGTTACAGAAAATTTTAAACATTCAAAGGAAGGCAATTCAATGATGTCCACATATCCCTTACCATCTTGAGTATTCTGATTTCTCTCTCTTAAGCTTTGCCTCTTCTCCCACAGTATTTTAAAGCAACATCCAGAACAATATTTCATCTGAAGCTTGCTTTTTTAAAATAATTATATTCATTTAATTTGAAAGGCAGAGAAGACAGAGCTTTTCCATATGCCAGCTCACAGACCAAGTGCCCACAGCAGCTTGGGCTGGACCAGATGGCAGCCAGGAGCCAGAACTCCATCTGCGCCTCCAGCTGAGTCATCCAGGGCTGCCTCCAGACTCTGCCTGAACTGACAGCTGGAATCAGCAGAGCCAGGCTCTACCCCAGGCACATCAGAATGGAATACGGCCATCCCAACAAGGGTCTCAGCCACTGTGCCAAGTGCTTGCTTATCCCCAAGGAAATTCAAGTGAGGGGTGCCTTGGAAGTTGGGACAAAGTGCTGTAGATAGCTACAGGGCCATTTTTTTTTTTCCCTTCCCTCAAGTAAGGTGTGCAGGTATTGCTACCATTCCCTTTGTGGACTCAGGTGGAGTTCTTGTGCCTGAGGGCTCCTCACAGGAGTGAGACTCCCTCTCTGCGTGTTTGTATTCTAACTTCACCATTCTCCTTCCTGCATTCCCTGTCGCCTCCAACTCAACATCACTGACTTGCGTTTGTTCTGTGAACCACAAATAAGACGTGTGGACTCAGGCCTGTTTGCTTTCCTTGAACTTCGTCCCCGATGAGGGGTAGGCAAGGAGACGGATGTCCTCACTTAAATCTTAAATCTTAAAACAAAAAAAGATTCCCAGATACATAAAAAGCTAGCATTTGCCCTTCAGTGCTGATATTCGTTAATGACATTGCAGTGTTCGCTACCCCTGATGCTCCTGGACCACCAGGTGCAGGAATCCCTGAAGTGACACGAAGAGGTGATGTCTCCTGTTTGAAGCACAGAAATTAAGTCTTCTTTTATTTATGTTTAAATTTTAGT